GACAAGAGCTGGAAGCCAACCGTGCCCTCCTGGGTGTCAGCTGAAATAGCAGGCGCGTGTCAAGGTGCAGACCTGCCTTGTACACCGCAGGTCCTCCCGGGCTCACCTGGAGATGTGACACCGGCTCCCACTGGGTGACAAGGCAGGGCCAGGGGAGAAGATGGGCACAGAGGAGGGTGTGAGGCTCCTCCCCCAGAGGCACCCTCGGGGCACACACAGCCTCCAACTGCAGTGGTGGCAACTGTGGAGATGCACTGTCACAAGACTCTCATAGTTTGGAGATGCTGGAATTTTCTCAGAGTTTCTGAAGATCCAGCCCTCCCCGAAACATGGAAATGCATCCACCCCCTCTAGGAAAAATATTTTATTTTGTCACACAGGGTAGATTTCAATGGCTGTCAGCAAAGGCCTCATTCCCGAGGAGATAAGGTGATTGACATATTTTCACACCCACAGAGTTTCAAACGAAGTCAAAGTCCAAGTGGAATGCCAAGCTGCTGCTCCACACAGCAAAATCAATGCAAGCCCCTCACCGCAGGTCTGTTTTTGTTGCTCCCTAGGGGGGAAGCCAGCAGCGTCCCGCCTCACGCTGGGTTATTGGCGATCAAGAGAATGTCACCTGTGCTCCAGGTTGGTGCACCGCCTCTGCTCATCAGTCTGGCTGGCGAGAACGGGAAATCCATAAGGGAGGCAGACACTCCTCTAATGAGGCAAGAGGAGAGCAGCCTCAGCCTGCAGAAGCCAGCCAGCGGGCAGGGACTGGGACCCTTCCGAGAGAGGCCTGCTGTTCCCACTGGCCCAGCGCCTGCCATGGTGCCAGCCATGTCTGCACAAGGTTTGTGCAGCATGCGCAGCAGGAAACAAAGGCCGTTAAATCCTCCTGGGGCCCCACCAGGGGACAAAGTGGCAGGTGGAGAGACACGGCTGCTCAATTTTTCTGACTTTGTGGCTTCACAAAGTACGTGTTTAAGACCCTTAGCAAGTCTAAAAGTTGAGCATTTGTGACGGGCAGCACTGAGGATGCTCCAGAATAAATCGGCGCCCAAACCTTCACTGAGATGGGCTGATCCTGTGACACAGGACTCAAGGGCTGCCATGGTTCTGTTCGAGGCAGGAGGACTCTCTGGCTTCCCTGGTGTCCTGGGCACGAGGAGTCTCTGGATGCCCTCCCCAGGGAGTTTTCTGCAGATCTGTCTTAGTAACTGTAGGAAAAGAGCAAACCCTGGCACACGGGCAGAGATCGCATGTCTTAATCCCTTTGCTGGGACACAAAAGCTGGCTCCACAACATAGAAAAAAGAGAGGTTTATAGTGGCTGGTGGTGGGTTAACTCCAAGGCTGGAGGCATGGCAGGCGGGCCTGGTGGAGGAGAGCTGCTCTGGGTGTGGAGGACAGGAAGCAGAGAGAGAAAGGAGGAGCCAGGAGGGTGATGAACCCTTCCAGGTCATGCCTCCTCCCCCAGGAACCACCGCCACGGGCTCCGCCTGCCATAGGAGACTCTTCCGGTGATCCAGTCAACCTTCCCAAACGCCATGACACCATGACATCATGACATCCCTGTCACTGCTCACCAGCCCTGCCCCCCACAGTTAGCACGGAGAAGGGGGCGGCAACAGCGCCCCTGTCGAGCACCTGCTGTGCTGCAGGGATTGCGTGAGGGGCTCACTCGCCCTCTACTCACAGAACCATGCTGCACCTCCTGCTCTGCTCCTTGGAACCTGGGGACACCAAGGCTCGGGCGTCTTTGGCTTCGGACGCTGCGAGTGGCAGAGCAGTGACGGACAGGTCTGCCGAGTCCCAAGCCTGTCCTTGCTGCCTCGAGGACCTCGGGGCGAGCAGCAGCCTCGCAGAGACTCTTCTGTTCTCAAAGCTCTGAGTGCCCACCTCCCCGCTGGGCATCCTGGGGTACCCAGGCCTAGGAGAACCCCGGCCCCCAGCTCCTGTGGGTTCCTTGCGGCTCTTTCACCCGCAGTCCTCTCTACCCTTCCTGTCTCCCGCCTGTGAGCTCTTCCTGCACAAACCTCGCTGTTTGCATTCAAATCACATGAGCCCCTTGCCCACCTGTGCGCCTGCGCTGCTTTTTGTGGGTGTCATGGAAACCCCTGTTATGGTGGAGCAGGGTGGAGGTGCATACCTACGGCTCAGTCACAGCGCTATGGCAGCGGGCTCGTCCCACCCCACCCCACCCCCGTCGGGTGTTAGATACCGCGGTCTCCCCAGCATCTGCCAGCCCTGACCTTTTGAATCTAATTTATGCTGTTCTTCGTGCTCCCTGCAGCACCAGGCAGCCACCTTCTTACAGCCTCATTCAGACGCCCTTGAGCCTCTGGACCCTTGGTCAGTGCATACAGAACCCTGGTTATCTTGCTTACTCTATTTGGACACTTGCTGGGCTTGGATGACAGCATGAAGTCGGCGGATCGCCACACAGCAGGCAGCCCAGGCGATCAGGGTGCAGAGTGGGACACAATGACCTTTGCCCTTGCAGATGGTAGCCAGTGCCAAGTGGAGGGTCCTGCCCAGGAACCTTGTAAAGAAGATCCACAGGGGTGACCCGGCCCAAGACACATCCAGGGGCAGCTTTGTAGGGGTGTGTGTCCAGAAGAAGACAAGAGCATCACACGAGGCCTTGGTGTGAGTGCTTGAGGCAGCCAGGCCCTCTGCGAGACCTGGATCAGTTGCCCACATTGCAGCTCCCACCCTACAACAAGCCACAGGCTCAGAGACCACAGGGGCTCAGCAGGAGGCTGGTGGGAGGAGGCACAGACTGCAGGCTGAAGAACCAGAGAACCAGCCAAGGAACAACAGCCTCAGCGTCTGCCCCATCCTCCTCTGCCAACCACAGCTGCTCTTTCCCCAGTCCTGCTCACCTCTCAACTTCTCTACGGAGCCTTTGGGAACCAGCCTCATCTCTACAAAGCCTCCATCTTCCACATGGCTTCGGGCCACTCAGTGCTTCTGTGAGCGTCCTTCTATCCGGGTGCACATCTGCTTGATTCTCGCTCTAGTTCATGAGTTCCTCCAGGTCAGGGACTGTGCCTGTGGGTTTCTCTCCCAGACTGCCCCACAGACTGCCCTGCAGCCTGCTCCTGCCTCCCACTCAGGAGGATTCAGGCTGACACTATTAGAGTGACCTGTCCCCCTCCACCAGCCCCTCTGGGTTGCATTTCCTTTCCTATCCCTGGAGCTTAGCGGGTGTCCACGAGTCCTCAGAGTTAGGTGTTGCATCAGGGGAAGAGAAATGCCTGAGCACACATGGAACCAAGGACATATTAGCAACGGGGACATAAGCCCCCATTGGGTTCCAATGTGGGTTGAGCGCTTCACCGTAGAACTGGAGACGCAGCCATGGGCGAGACCTTCAGCCTCCGGAATCCAGAGGAGCCAACCCACTGACAGCTTCATCTCGATCACAAAGGTGGGGATCAGGAGCCCTGGAATGGTGAGTGGTTCCTGGGCACACAGCTGGGGTCAGGGAGCTACTCCTGTGATATGCTGTCCAGCCTAGGACTGAGAGCCACCTGGGCCTGCTACAAGCTCCTGATAACAGGAACAAGGGCAGCAGGATGCACAAGGTGTACACAGCTGGATGGAGTGGCCTTGCCTTCACTTTGGAGTTTCCCAGGGATGGACCCTGGGAGCAGTAGCTGGGGCCAGGGTTAGGAGATGGATCTCTGTAGCTGACTGGGGTAAGAGCACCCCCCCTGCCTGCGCGCGCATGCTGCACCCCATCCTGAAACAAAGCAGCAAAGCCATGCAGCAGAGCTAAGTTAGCACAGCATGTTGTTAGGGACCCACGTGCTGCCCTGCAGCCTCCACCCTGAGCATGATTTGTTTGCTCTGACCCCACAGGACTTTGGATAAAGATGAAAAGATAACTTGTTTCTACCTCCTGTTCCTGGGAACTGTCACCACTGCTCATTCACCAAGCTAAGGTGCCTCTTGCCTCTGGCCCACAGCCCAGGCCTCTGAGGGCCCTGGAATTCTTCTCTCGCCATCACTGTACAGCCCAGTTCTCCTTGGCCCCAGCTGTCCCCACCCCCATAGGAGCAGAGGCAGTGGCCTCATGCCTCCCACCCCACCCCTTTGTGTCTCCTCTGCCTCCCTCCAGTCCCCTTCCCACAACCCAGCAAAGGGCACTAGCCACTGCCTCTGCAGTTCCTGCAGGTGCGCTCCCTGAACTAGCACAGGTCACCCCAAAAAGGCCAGGCAGAGGAGCAGGCTGGATGAGTTTCCAGAGCAAACCACTCCACCCGGCATCTGCACCCAGACAGAGAACCAATGTGCCGCATGCAGAAGCCCACCCTCAAGCTCAAGCTTCTGAAAGTGGGCCCAGGCTGGGTTCCCTTTGTGCTGTGCAACAGGGTGACGAAGAGATCCAGGCACGCTGCAGTCCAGGGCGGTGGCACTTTTCCGCTGAACACGGTTGTGTGAATGCTCAGCACCCAGCAAGGTCAGAGGGTTTTCAGTACTGGCTGCTGAGTCATTACTGAGTCATGATGACATCTATGAAAAGCTTTCCTCAGGATAATGGGATGCTACCTCCAAAGGGTGAGCTGTGGCCACCACCGCCACTCTTCCCACAGCCCAGTCATTGTTCCCACAGCAGAAAATGTTCCACACCGAGGGGATAATCCTAGGCCAACACAGTGGTGGGCAGGGAGACCCCTGCCCTGTGGGATCCACCCTGTGAGCCCCATTTTTAGATTCCAACCCCTCATCCATAGCTGATCACCCAGAGCTGGCGGGGCTTATTTATGCCACAGGCTCCCCAAAAGGAAACTTCAGGCCCTATAGCCAAGCAATTTTGATATGCAACTGACATGGTCCTGATGCCAACTGGACCCCATTAATTAGAAAAGAGGACAGGTGGTCTCCAGCACCCTATGCCATGTGTGCTACATGCCCTGCACACCTGCAGCAGATGTGGTAGGTGGGTGGGTGTAAGTCCTGTTTGTATAATTATGTAAAATTAGACAAAGAGACTAGAAGAGAACAGAATTATGTTTAATTTTTCCCTTTATTCTCCAATTTTCTTTAATGTTATTATATCACAAATTTTAGTTAAAGTCGACTGGAAAAGCATGTAATATTCTTACATGTCTTAGTTACTTTCTCATCTCTGAGACACAATACCCAACACCCACACCTCTAAGGAGAGGTTTATTTTGGCTCACAGTCTGTAGAGGTTTCAGTCCATGACTGGCTCCCACAGCAGCATTCAGAGAGGCCTCGCAGAGGAGAAACAGCCTGTGGCCTGGTGGACAAGAAGCACACAGATCAAGGAAGAAAGAGCGACAGAGACCCTTCTAGCCTATGCCCCAGCAACCACCTCCTTCACAGGCTCCGCCTCCCAGTGTCACCTTCAGCTGTAAACTCCCTGGTGGACCAGTCTGCTATGAGGGTCACACACCCATGATCCCGGCACCTCCCAAGCCCTCTTAGGAGTGCGTGAGGCTTTGGTGACATCTAGATAGAGACTAGGCCAAGAAGGATTTTGGATTTGGTAAACCATATTATTTCCTCAAGACTCTGATAATGTCCATTTTCACCAACATGATGGTAAAGACCAGGTCTGCAGGTGCTCTCAGCATCAGAGACATTGGTGGTCACCATGACTGAGGGTGACATCCCCTGAGAGCCTGTGCCCACCTTTGCCAGTGCTGCCTGGAAGCACTGTATAGTGGTAGGAGCCATCAGCCCCCTGGAAGGTGGATCTACTTCTGCTTCCCAGCAGTTTCATTGGGCTGTACCCATTTGTGAATGTTCTTTTCTTTAGCCCACTGGGAATGGGTTTTGTTTCTTCAGACTATTCTTGGATATTCTGGAAATTGTCAGTCTACTTTTTAATGAGATCATCTCCTGTTTCTGGTTTTCTGACTGTAATTGATCAAATGTTAAATGTTTGCACTGTGTGATTTATGGCTCTCATCTTTACTGCTCTTTGCCTCTTGTCTCTGTGATGAATTTTGGACATGCTTGCAAAGTATCTCCTGTTCACTAATTCTCTCTTTAGTTGTATCTAATCCATCTTAAACCTATCCAGTGAGTTTTTAATCGTTATTATATTTTTTCTTGTGAATTTAACAAAATTTTCCCCATTACTGGAAATTGAACCCAGGGCTTTCACATTGCCTCACATTGAACTACATCTCTAAACTTTTTGATGGTTGATTGAAGCATAGTGTTGCTAAGTCTCTGTGTTGGTCCTGGGTTTCAGCATAAAGAGCAGAGCTTTCTGGAAGGCTTAGTGACAAACAGGTGGCAGGCTCCCGATGGAGCAGTGAGGAGATTTATTGGAAGGGAGAAGAGAAAGCTGTACGGTAACAGGGTGGTGAGAAGGGAGAGTTCTAGGGCTCCTGTGAGCAGGCTTTAATTGTCATCATTTGTTCACGACTGCACATTCCTTTTCAGAGAATAGTGTTCTACGAGATGCTGATGTTGTAATGTTTGAAGGTCTTTGGCTGGGTAAAGGGAGGCACCCCTGGGTCTGATCACCTGGAGACAGCTAGTGTCCAGCTGCTTCTTGGCAGGTTCTGGAGAGATTCCCCACAAAGAAATCTCACGGAACAGCTTTACTTCCTCATTGATTTATAGCTGGCTTCTAGCTAGTTTCGTGTTGATGCTTTAAAATACTGAGTTATGTATTTTACATGTGTCCAGCTTCTTGGGCAATCCACGATGAGAGAGTTCCTACAAATTACCTTGTCTGCCATTCCTGGAAGTGGCTGGCTCCTGGGTGAGAAACTTGAGTGTAGATAAAGCTGTACTCCTGAAGATTTTTACTTAGAAAAAATCTCCCAAAGATCTTTTAAAAATTTTCCAAGTGGGGCTGGGGATTTAGCTCAGCGGCATAAGTACCTGCCTTGCAAGCAGGCGGTCATGAGTTCGATCCCCGGTACCGGAAAAAAGAAAAAAGAAAAAAAATTTTCCAAGTAACAGAGCTTCAAATATTAACCGATCTAATGCCCATAGCAACTGTTCCACACAGTGTAAATGCAAGGAGATGGTGCCCTAGAAACACAGAGTAACTTAAGTAGAACATAGCAGTCAAGAGCAAAGCTATCATCTTAGTTACTTTTCCATCCTGAGGACAATGCCTGACACCCACAAGGAAACAAGAGAGCTTCATCATGGCTCACCATGTCAGAAGTCTCAGTCCACGTCTGGTTGGCACCTCCTAGCAGATGGCATGGTGAGGAGAGGAGAGCTGCCCAATCCCTGGCAGCCAGCCAGCAGGGATGGAAGAGCTGCAGAGAGAGATGCACCCTCCCAGGCCACTCCCCAGGGACCACCTCTTCCCATTGGCCCCGCCTCCTCCCATCAGGCCACACTCTATGGATGGCCATCTCTGACCAGGCGGTGCCCCAGGGACCACCTGATCCCATGGTCTCCATCTCCCGACACTACATCAGACAGTGGAGTCTACTGACAGATGAGTCCATTGAGGAGTGTAGCACTGCCATGGCCCATTCAATACCTCCCAGCACTTCAGAGTTTGGGGAGACACATGAATCTAAACCACCATAACTATGATCTGAACCCCAGCCTTGCTAACCTCAAACCGCATCCTCTTTCTCTCTACATCAGAGATGGAATTGAAGCTGTTTTAATCTTTGTTTTGTACAAGCAGAAAAGAGTTCTTCTGGAGTCGAGTGGCAACTGTGAATAGACAAGGAACACACAGATAAAATGCTTTCCCTGCATTTTCTGTACAAATTACTTGAGCCCGAAAGTTTGACAGCTTGTAAATAATGGCTTTGGAAATCCAGAGAGAAGAGAGATAAAACTAATGTAGAGGCGGATTGTCCCAAGTCTGTAGCTGAAACCCACAATTCTCTGCTTCCCAACCCATAACAGCATTCCATGTATACTTATTTCATTTCGATTTTGTTTTATTCTTTGTCAGTGTCTGAATGATGGAGGAGTTATAACCCAAATGTCCATTTATTTTAGGAAATATATAGGAATGAAAATGAGTTTATATTTTTAAATCAGAGAAACTAGTAGCTTACAGTTTTTGGAGGTTTCAGTCTATAATCAGCTGGCTGCAAGGCAAGGTGGCACAGGGTAGCACTTCAAGACAGCAGCCAGAGCAAAAGGGGGAAGAGCAAGTCTCTGCTCCTGTCCTATATCATACAGAAGCCACCCCCTCCCCAGACTGTGTCCTCCTCTGGCCCAGGCTGAGGATGTTTACAAAGTAAGGATCCTCCCTCCCTGCTGAGTCTCTCAGTTAAACTTTTAAACTTCTCAGGTTGACACAGTGTATCACCCATAACAATCCACCCCTTGTCAATTTGTAACCAGACATATGTCTTTAAACAGGCCTCCAGATATAAGGGCATGTTTATTTTTAGCATTTCCCAACTTGAACATTAGAACACAGGTTTAACAATCCTTAAGAATCAATATTAAGCCGGGCATAGTGGCTCACACCTGTAATTTCAGCACTCGGGAGGCTGAGGCAGGAGGATCATTGCAAATTCCAGACCAGCCGGGGCTACAAAGTGAGTTCAAGGCCAGCCTGAACTGCATAAAGACCCTGTCTCAAAAAAGACAAAAAAATCAATATTGTCTATCAACATTATATTGCATTAAGAATCATGACCTTCTGCCCCTGGCCCTGCAAAGACTCATACACATCCCTTTATACAAAAGGCATTTAGTCCATCTGCAGGAGTTGCCAAAGTCCTAACAGTTTCAGCACTGCTGAAAAGTTCACATTCTGTCTCCTCAAAGATGGAAGGTAAACTCTTAGCTGCAAGGCCCTGGACAAATGCAAACAAAATTAAACACTTCCAACCTGCAATGGCAAAAAATAAACACTCCCATTCCAAAAGGTACAAACGGGGATGCAAAGCACTGGGACCAAAGCACATCCAAAGTCCAGCAGGGCAAAGGTTAAATCCTGTGGCTACGCGTCCAGCATCTGAAGCGATCTGTGGCAAACTGTGAGCTCCAAATGGCTCATGTGACTCTACCCTACCGCACTTCTGGTCCTTGTAGCTCCCACAGCTTCTCTCTTAAGCCCACCTTGCGCTCTCCCTGCAGCTTTGCTTTCCTTAGATGATCCGTATTCTTGGCTTTTCCAAATTTCTGGGACCTCTACTGCACCTTTGGCTTCACACACTGCCCTGTGAGGGACATGCTGCCTGGACTCCCAGGCCTTCTCAAATTGGGGTGGGAGCCTTTTTAACTTCAAAATTCCTGTATTCTGTATGCACTCATAACCGGCACCATGTAGATGATGCCAAGGTCTGCTGCCAGCTAGAGCAGCATCCAGGCTCTCCTCTCTTTTGGCTGTAGGGGTCAAGTGCTTGGATTACTGGGCACTCTGAATACAATTTTGAGGGAAAAAATTCTGCTGCTGCCATTCTGGAACCTGGTGCAGCTCTGCTGCCATTCTGAACACGATGCTCTCGGCTTTTGTCTCAAAGCAAACAGCTTTATTGGAGTTTTTTTCTGCACAAACTCACAATGTTTTAAGTCATCCTGCTGGGCTCTTTGCTCTTGATTTACAACATAAATCTGCCTAAAAGCCCCCAACAATAGCCATGCCACAGCCTCAACATTTGACTGCCTTGAAATTTTTTGGCCAAATTAATTAGTCCCCTACTCTTCATCTTAGTCTCAGACAAAGTCTCTGGACATGAGCAAAATGTAGACAAACTTTCTGCCAAGTCATAACACACATCATCTGGAGGCCAGCACATAATGCAGTCCTTCTTCCCAGCAGAAACCTCCCGACACTGGTCTTTACAGGTTTTCTGGTCTTCTGAGCACTGAGTGGAATTTGCCATACAGAACAGCCTGAGCTGTCCTTTCAGGTGACATCTCTGAACCTTTCTAACTTCCCACAAGTCTTTCCCAAAGACTCTTAGACCACATGGTCAGGTATAGTCATAGCAATGACTCCACTCATGGCACCAAATTCTGTCTTGGTTACTTTTCTCTGGTTGCTGAAAATTAAGGAAGGAAAAGTTTATTTAGCTTACAGTCTTTGGAGGTTTCAGTCCATAATCAGTCAGCTGCAAGGCAGGGTGGCATGGTCCTAGGACAACACTTCAAGGCAGCAGCCATAGCAAAAGGGGGAAGAGCAAGCCTCCTTTCCTCCCTCATATCGTACACAGGCCACTCCCCCCACTCCAGGGCAATGTAGCACTCAAAATATCTCTGTGCCCTCTTCTTACAAAAAATGAGGATACTTACAAAGTCAGGATCCTGGCTCCCTGCTGAGTCTCTCAGTCAAACTTCTAAAATTCTCAAGTTGACACAATGTATCAACCATAATGCTAGTTAATATTTCCACAAGGACAGAATTAAGAAGTAACTAGACATTCAATAGTTAAGTGTTTGCATGCCACGCTAGGATTTAAAGAAGACCCCACAGTAAGCCGTGAATTATCTTCCATGGTGGGCTTGGGCGGTCATAATACATTTCTACCCTTATCTGATGACGTAAAACAGTCTATCTTGTGTCCAACACATATTCTAGAAAAGCGTCAAATACAATAATGAAAAAGTCTTACTTCCAGTTGGGGACTTGTCACACAAGCCTGCTGCAGAGCAGCGTCCCACAAGCTTGCCTGGAAGCTGTTGCTGTGGACATTGGTGGAGGACCAGGGAACCCTCCACCTCCTGAGAGCAGTACACCCGGGGCCTGCCAAACTACGGCCGGGATGGGCTGGGAAGAGACTGCTGTGTCTCTGGCAAGCATCAGCTGGCTGAGTATTCGATCTTCAGGATGCAAGGTTCAGGAAGGCAGCCCTCAAATGACAGAGAGGAGGCGATTCAGAAAATCTAGTAATCAGCCCATAAGGAATGTTCGACCATATTCCAATTATTTTTTAAATTTAAGTTTGCATGGGAGCTGGGGATTTAGCTCAGTGGCATAAGTGCCAGCCTTGCAAGCAGGCAGTCATGAGTTCGATCCCCAGTACCGATAAAAAGGAAAAAGACCAAAAAAAAAAAAAAAAATTAAAAAATTACGTTTGCACATGTGAGCTAGATAAGACTTTTAGTTCAGCATTGCTCTTTTAATTACTTCCTATCCCTGTAAATGACTATCCAGCTGGCACACAGAAGACATTTTTCAGATTTTCCATTGATATTGAGGGCTTCCATTTTTTTAGTTTCTATGGGTAGCTGAAAGAAGAGTAGAGAAAACAGCCTCAAGGAAAAGTCTTTGGTGTGTCAGCGCACTGAGGCTGAGAGAGCTGAGAGTGTGTGTGTGTGTGTGTGTGTGTGTGTGTGCGCGTGTGTGTGTGTGCATATGTGTGTGTGTACCTCTCAGCCTATGCAGATGGTAAAACAAAAACAAAACAAAACAAAAAAACTGTGTTCAAGTACCAAGGAAAAATTAGAAAAGTAACAGGGCAGATAGGAGGAACAGTATCCTCAGCATGTCCCAGTATCCCAACCATCCTACCTTGGTCCCAGAAAGCACTGGACACCAAGGCCGCACCTGGGCTGGGGGTACAGCCTGGTCTCACATGGCCCAGGGACACTGAGGCACACCCCACTCCCACTACCAGGGCTACTACACTACCTCTGCAGAGTGGCTCACCCTGTGCACCATATGGAAATAACTGATCATCCCACAACCTCCTATGCTATGAGCAGAGCCACCTGCAAACCCACCCTGCATAAGAGAGCCATCAACTGCAGCCTCAGCCCTGGGGCTTCCGCTGAGATCGCCAGTGTGGATGATGGCTGGAGAGGCTGCGCTGAGACTACGCCACCGCACCTGCCTAATGCAGAGCTGGTAGCCAACTCGATGGGCGTCCGAGAGCACATCACCAGGAGAAAGCCTTCACACAAAGCCACACTGTGAACTGATGGAAGCAAAGGATCTGCCAGCGGGGTGAATACCAACACAGACAGAAGAAACATGAAGGCTTCAAAGGAAGCAATAACTATCCAGCAACAGATACCAAAAAAACTTTCTGAAAAATAATTCAAAATAATGATTTTAGAGGACCCAGTGAAATGCAGGGCAATGTAGACAATTCCATAAAATTAGAAAAATATTCCTGATTTCAGTGAGAAATTCAGCAATGAGATAGAGACCACAGAAAGATCCAACCAAGATCTTGAAGCTGAAGAACTCAATAAATAATATACAGTTGAGAAACTCAACAGCAGACTAGATCAAGAAAAGGGTCTTTTGAAATAACCCACTCAGACTAAAAGAAGCAAAGAAAGATAGATAAACTCAAAGAATGAAGAACTCCTATAAGACTTTTGAGACATAATTGAATAAACAAACTTTTATACTATGAGTGTTCCAGAAAAAGAAGATAAAAGAAGTCTTAGGAAACCTATTAAAGAAACAATATTTGAAAACTTTCCAAATCTTAAAATATAGGAATCTACATCCAGAAAGCTCAAAGGACCTCAACTAGATTGTGCAAAATAAAGTCCACTGTGAGGTATGCAATAGTCAAACTATCAAAAGTGAAAGATGAAGAGAGAATCTAAAAACAAGAGAAAGCATCAAATTACATTTATGAGAATTCCCATCAGAATAACAATAGATTTCTCAGCAGCAATGTTCAGGCTAGGAGAGAATGGTGGTACATCCAAGGCCTGAAAGAAAAAAAATCATACACTCAGCAAATCTATCTTTATGAAGTAAAATAAAAAATAAAGACTTCACAAAACACAGAAAATTGACCAATAGAGCATTCTTCCAAAAAATGCTTATGGGAGTCCTACACGGAGAAGCAAAGGATGGTAGCTACCATCATGAAAACATGTGAAAGCACCGTATTCATTAGGAGAGAAGATAAACAAAGAAAAATAATCCAACTTTATCGATACAGAAAACCACCAAACCATAAGGATGAACAATAAGAGAGAAAGGAACAAAGATATACAAAATCACCAAAATTTAACAAATGACCCCAGTAAACCTTTAAATATAATGGATCAACTCCCCAGTTAAAATATTTATACTGGATGTATTTATTTAAAAAAAATAAAAACCAAGAACAATTATTTGTGTCTGTCTTAGCTTCTTTTCTCATTGCTGAGACAAAATACCCACCACCCAAAGTTAAAGGAAGGAAGGTTTACTTGGTTCACACGTCGTAGAAGTTTCAATTCATCATGGGCTGGCTCCAGACAGGGTAGCATAACCAAGGAGAACAGTTGAAGGTGGCCAGAAAGTAACAAAAGCAGCAGGGCCTTGACAGCATCTTCCTGCCCATTTTATCTTATCCAGACCATTCAGGGCCAGCAGCACTCACACCCTTAATGCTAATGTCCTTGACTGTAGTATTGCATGAATCAGTTTCAGCGTCACACACTCTAGATCCAGCCACCTCTGAGAAAGCCCCACCCATGACCTCATGAGGCTTTGGGGATATCTAGAAGGGCCACAACAGTGTCCTACAAGAAAGTAATTTCACTGACAGAGATGTGTATAGGTTGAAAATGAAGGGTTGGGAAAATACAACATTATACAAATAAAAATGAAAAGCAAGCACAAGTAGCTGTACTTACATTCAATAAAATAGATTTTAAATTGAAAATTATTTTTAAAAAGCTGAAGGAGGTTACTATCTGGTGAATAATTAAGAGATCAATTCAATAATATATGTATCTCCTCAATGCTGGAATATCTAGTTGCATAAGAAAAACATTATCAAATCTAAAGGGAGAGATCAACTCCAGTGCAATAACAGCTATGGACTTCAGCACTCAGCTTTCACCAGTGAACAACTCATTAAGACACACAAAGAAATGCTGGTGTTATACTCTGGACCCATCCTCATGGAGCGTTTCTTCCTAAGCTGCAGTAGATACATTCTTCTCCCAAGCCCTGCACAGTCTCCAGGACGGACCACACATTAGGCCACAAAATAGAGTCTCAACAGAGTAAAAAAAAAAAAAAATTGAAATCCTAGCATATATTTTCTCCAATCACAGTGGAATAAAAATGGAAATCTACAAGAACTTTAGAAATTGCATAAGTCTGTGGCTCCTAAGCTGCATGCTTAACAACCAACGAGTCAATGGCAAAATCCAAAGAGAAATTTTTTAAATATCTTGAAACAAATGATGTAGAAATGCATCATACCAAAACCTATTAGACACAACCAAAAACAACACTGAGACGACTTTACAACAGTAAGTATCTACCTCCAAAAAAGGAAAGAAAGAAAGAAAGACAAAAAAGAGCTCAAATACCCAATTTAATGATGCAACTCAAAAAACTAGACGGGCATGTGCCGGTGTTGGTGGCGCATGCCTGTAATTCCAGCACTTGTGAGGCTGAGGCAGGATTGCTGTGAGTTCCAGATTATCCTGTACTACACTTGAGTTCAAGTCTTACCTGGATCACATAGAGAGACCCTGTCTCAAAAAGAAGAAGAAGAAGAAGAAGAGGAAGAGGAAGAAGAAGGAGGAGAGAGAGAAAGGGAACACAAACCAGGTAAAAACACTAAATCTGAACCCCCTTAGGACCTATTGTGAACAGCTGGAGCCAGCAACCTGAGAAACTTAGAAGTGCCCAGATTTGTACGTAACCTACCAAAGCTGGGTCACAGTGACCTAAAAGACCTGATCAGGTTGGTGACGAGGGGACTGAGTCAGCAACTAAAGTTTTGAACTTTACCAAGATTTCCAGGAAGAATTTGCACCAATTTTTCTAAAATCACTGCGAAGATTTGAAAAAAAGAAACCCTCATGAACCCATCCTCTGAGGCCAGCATTACTCTAAAAATACCAAACAAGGGCGCACTTGAAGAAAAATATACTAAGTGCAGAGGCACCTTCTCCATGCCTATCTAGTACTTGGAGGGCTGAGACAAGAGTGTTCCTTGAGTCCAGCCAGAGTAATATAGTGTCTTATGGATTCAAAATTTGTGGGCAACTTTACTCCAGCTGAACTGAGTCAGCGTGGTGCTGAGTGTAGATGGCCCCCTGAGGAAAGTTGCCAGCATAAAAGGAGACCTGGGGAGGAAGAGTAGCATTGTGGGTTCTCTCATGTTGTTGTTTGGAGCTGCTGGCTCTCCTGGAGGAGCTGTCACACTGGCTTCCTGATATAAACTCAGTTGTTCGCATTATCAGAGGAGCCTGGGACCTCACTGTCACTGAGGATGGCTGTGGTACTTTTCAGGGGAGCCCTGGTCCATATTTTGAGCCTTGCTTCTTGGCGTAAGTATAGAACCCTCAATCTACTGGCACAGATTCTTCATCCCACTGGCACAGACTTTCTCGCTTCCACCACTGACTGTTGGGCCCTCCCAGGGAGGATCCATGAAACAGACTTGCATGAGTCCTTGTCATGGGCTCTAGGTCTTCAGCTGGCCTCATACAGGACATTGCTGCAGGATCCAGGCTCTCGGCTGGATTTTCTAGGTCTTTAGAGTTGCACACAGATTTCCTGCACTTTTTTGTATTTAACTGTGGGTGACCATCATAAAATACTGTTATAAATTCTGTGTCCTCTATGTAGTTGTTCTCCTTGAAACCCCCTGACTACAACATATTGAGACTCTCAAAAAAGAAACGACAGAAAAGAAAGAAGAAGGGGAAGCAAAGGAGAGGGGAGAATAGAATCTATAGACCAATTTCCGTGATGGAACACAGATGCAAAAATTCCCAACAGTGTAGTGTAGTGCTAGTAAACTGAATCCAACAGCAATCAGCCAACGATTTTATCCATCGTGACCAGGGGAAATTTATCCTGAGAATGCAAAGATGTATCAGCATGTGTTAATCAATAAATATAAAATATTACATCAATAGAGTAGAAAGCACCCTATCATCCTTCCATCAGATGCAGAAAAAGCTCTCAGTGAAATTCAACATCCTTTCATGAAAAAAGGACTCCAACAAATGAAGTATAAAAGGAATTTACTCCAACACAATAAAAGCTACATATGATAATCCCATAGCCAACACATACAAAGGGACAACCAAAAGCATTCTTCTAAAGTCCAGAGTGAAGCCAGGCCTGGCAGTGCATGCCTGTAATCCCACTCGGGAGGCTGAGGCAGGAGGATTGTTGTGAGTTCGAGACCAGCCTGACTACAAAGTGAGCTCAAGGCAACCTGACCTGCATAGTGAGAGCCTGTCTCAAAAAGATTTTTTTAAAAAAGACAAAAATAAAATAAAATAAAGTCTAAAGTGCTCTTAGGTGGAGGACTCACAGCCAAAAGCACAAATTTCCTGCTCCAGGTGGAGCGGGGCAAGGGTGTCTGCTGTGATTACTCCTATTCAACATAGTGTTGGGATCTTAACTGGGGAAATTAGGTAGGAGAAAGAAATAAAAGGGATCCAAGTTGAAAAGGAGGGAGTCATATCACCCCTGTTTGGGGGCAACCATCATGATTTTTATACAGAAAAAAATCTGCCCAAAAACTGTTAGAGTGGATGAGTTAATTCGGTAAAATTTGCAGAATGCAAAATCAACATACAGGCAAAAGTCATAGCAATTTTATCCATCAATAATGAACTTGATGAAAAAACAAGAAAACAAACTCACTTATAATAGCTACAAAAATAATAATGTTTAAAACTAAATCTAACCAAGAAAGAAAATAATCTCTACACTAAAAACTACAAAGTAATGACAAATGAAACTAGAGGAAACATGCATGAGAAAGTGAAAAGCAGCCCATGTTCATGGACGGGGAAAATTATCACCGTTAAAATGTCCACACTACCACACACAGTTTTCAGATGTAACGCAATCCCCGCTGAATATTAAAGACACTCTTCACAGAAACGGAAGAGAGTCGTAAAATACACCTGGAATATGCAACAGGCCAAATAGCCAAAGCAGTCTGGAGCTGAGGGCATCAAAACAAGACTCCAAACAGATCAGTAATGGTGTGAAAACTGCACCTGCCGTTCTGGGACAGGATAGAGAGCCCCAAAGTAAGCCCACACATCCAGAGCCGGCTGGTCTTTGACAGAGGACTGGGTAGGAAAGTGCCTTCAATAAACCAATAAACGGAGCTGAGGAGCTGGATTCCACGTGCAGAGAACTCACGCTTGAGCCCTCCCCCACCAAACACCAAAGGGGCCTGAAACTGTGACTCTGCCAACCAAACGCCAGGGAAACACACAAAGACATCAATGCAGACAACAACTTTTTGGTTACAACCCCAGGAGCACAGGCAATGATAGGCAAATGAGGTCCTGTCCAACTAAGACCAACTAGGGGGCTTCTGCACAGCTACAGGGTGGGGAGACAGCCAGCAGGGTCAGAGAAAATATTTGCAAACATGTGATTTACAAGGAGTTAAAAACTTCAGTATGCAAGGAACCCACAGATCGCAGCATTCAGAAAACTGTTCATCTAATTTTAAAATAGGCAGATGATCTGAACAGGAATGTTATTCAGCCACCAAAGAATGAAATCCCGTCACCTGCGGCAACTGGGACAGATGGGAGGGTACTGTGTTAAGTGAAGGGAGCTGGGCAGAAAGATAAACACTGCAGGTGCTGAGTCACACAGAGAGTGATGATTTTCAGGAGGAGAGAACAGAGCAGTGGTTGCCGAAACCCAGGGAGGGCCAGGAACCAGCGGAGACAAATGAGGCTGGGCAGTGGGCACCAGAGGCAGGGGTGGGAAGAGTCCGTCCCGAGTCCATACCCAGTGAGATGATCACTGTTCACAGCTATTTAGTGCACATTCTTTTTTTTTTTTTTTTTTTTTTTTTTTTTTGTGCACATTCTAAACAGAATGAGAAGGGAAGTGTTCAGAGTTTCCTTAAAGAAAGAGAAGATAAATGTTTAAGAAGGCAGAAATGCTAACTACCTTGATTTGACCATTGTATACTGCGCATATTATCAAATATTGCACTGTGTTCCATACAAGCATGCAGTATTTTACAGTAAAACAATTTTGAATGAAAACAGTCTACAGAGATAATGCAATATTCCATTTTAACAAATGTATCTCTTTTCCCAAGTCCTAAAGGCAGTGACGTGGCAGGCTGCCCTCTGCATCAGCAGGTGCCAGGTGGCAGTCGCTGTCCTGTTGGGCTTTGCTCTCAGAGGAGGTGTATCTTCCTGTATGTGTAAAGATCCAAAGCCAGGTTACCTCTCAGTCCTGAGGTCTTTCCCTGGATCCATGTGAACAGAAATCATTTCAGACATCGTCAGACAGCAATATGTAAGGTAACACTTGATTTATGTGGCAAGCAACTCTCCCTTTGTTGCAATAGGCTGGGTGCCTCCCTGGACCCCCTCCCGGGTCTCAGGCCTCAGAGGATTTGGAATGAGGGGGCAGGTGGGCACAGGAGCCAGGGCATGGTGCAGTGGGCCACCCGGCACTTCTGAGGAGCATCCTGATTCCACAACGCATCTCGACTTTGGCTGGGAGCCACAAGGCATCGACTCAGTTCGAACTCACTGTTGGGAAGTTCGGAAGTCTTCTAACCCCAAAGCTTCCGCTTGCCAGGGTGAAACTGACATGCCAGCAATCTCTGATTCCGTTCTCTGTTTCCATTTTTGCTTCATTTGTACATAAACTCTCTATTTGTCAGAATCAGCGAGGCCAAGCGCATCTGAACTCCGTGGTAAAGGTTTATGTGGTAAACAGGCAGGTACCTCTCAGCCGAGCTGGGCCCGAGCTCCAGGCTCACTCCCGGCTGCCCTCTGCCTTTCTTGCAGCTCCTTAGTTAGAGTCCTTGCCTGATGACAGCAGCCTTTGGGCTTTCTGGGGCAGCGCAGGGCTGCGCCATGCCCTCTGCTACCAGGTCCTGACCCACCCCTGTCTCCAGCCTCTTATGGAAGACACTGTTTCCTCCACGATTCCTGCCTACATTTTGCCTTCACCAGTGTCAGCCCTTGGTTGTTCTGGGTCCCCTTTTATTCACGAGGGTCCAGCTGATGCCTTTGTATATGTGTTTTCTCCTTCTGGCTAATTTTAAGATTTTTGTTTTCTGAAATTTTACCAGAAGTACCTAGGTATTACTGTCTATATTTTATAAACTTTTGCTTAAACTTTCATTAAGTGTTTGGGTGTGAAAGTCTTTTTTCTTCCAATTAGGCCAGTATCTAACTATTGCGTTCTTTAAAACGAAGCAAAACAAAACTTAGGTCCCTAGGGCTGGGGATTTAGCTCATCGGCATAAGCACCTGCCTTGCAAACAGGCGGTCCCGACATCATTTGATTCTCCTTACAGCGCCTACTCTGTATTTATCTGGGCAGCTACTGTTTCCCATAGGTTCCTGGCCTTCAGTTTTCCTCTGTGCTTCAGATCCGATTCCTTTTGCTGTCTTCAAGTCACTAACCCTTCTTTGACCACCTGCCCTTGACGCGCCTGTAGCCGCGCTGTGACTTGGCCAGCTCTGTGTCATGGGCTTCCCTTTGCTCAGATCTCCAGCTCACCTGTTCACTCACGACGACTATGGTTTCCTTCAGTGCTGTGAACATGTTACAAAAGACAGCTGAAGAATCTTTGCCTTGTGAGACCCCTGTGCCATCTCCGGGTGGGTTTCCACTGACAGCTTTCGCTTGACAACAGGGCTCACCTCCGGTCTCTCAATACATCTGGTCACTTTTCCTCATCCTGACTCTGGACTTCGAGATGTGTTGTGGAGATTGTGGGTCCTGTGAGCTTCTTCCAGTCCTCGGGGGCTGCTGGGACAGCAGACAGCTCAGTCACACAGTGGCCAGCATGCAGGGTCCCTCTTCCTGGGCATTCCTGTGTGTCAAGGCAGGGCTGGCATTCAGTTTCAGGAGGACAGGGACACAGCAGGTGTCCACACCCACCTAGACTCCGCACACCAGGCCCCTGCTCTGCTTCCAGCCCTTCCCCGCACCTGCTGCTTCCCCATCGCCCAGCCTGGCCTGCATTAAGAGGGACAGCCCAACCCACTCCAGCATCTCTGGGTGAAGGGCTTTCTGAGGGACCCCTGTGTTCTTTCTGGGCACCAGCTCAAGTACAGGGCCCAGGGCTCACTGTCATGTGTGCTGTCTGTGGCTAGTGTAATGGGCTCACTCTCCCCATGGCCTGTAACTGGAGGCCACTCCAGCATCTCCTGCCTGGCAGGCGCCCACCGCTGCTCACACTGACCAAACTCATGTGAGGGACCATGGACATAGAGGCCTCGCCCTTGTGACCTCTGTGGTCTGTGAAAGAGAACAGACGCTAAACAGATCACCAACTGGAACCCGTCTGGAGATAAAACCGTGACTAGAGTGCTAGGTGCCAAATGCAGAGGGCAGGGAGACCGTGCCAGGAACCCCAGCCTGGGGTGAAGAAGGAAGACTCCGAGACAGGACACGGAGAGACGGTGGCAGATGAAATGCAGGGGACAGCAGCAGGAGAGGGAGCACCCCCAGGACCTGAAGAGAAGAGGCTACAACAGGAGCCTGGGAGACACGGAGGGGGCATGTGTGGCTAGCACCCTTGTTTCTCATGGCTGGAACCAATCCAGTGGAACAACTAGAGTCAGGGTGGACTAAGACCCCAGAGGGCACTGACACCAAAGCAAAGTCGGTGTTCAGGAGATAAGGATGGGCCTCAGGAATGTATTTTCAGTTGCAAAGTGCTACTTTTATACTATTTCTGGAAATATTTCCAGACTCCTCTTCATGCTGATTTAAAAGTATTGGCTGGATTACTGGTGTAGTTCAGGGGTCCAGCACCTGCCCGGCATGCACACAGCGCTGGGTTCGATCCCCAGCATGGCAAAAAGAAGCTATGCAGAGACTCATGCTCCAGGACGGCCCTCTGCAGGGTCTCCAACCTGCTTATTTCCAGCCGCTCAAAATAGGCAATTTTTGCTCAGTGCAGATAAATATTGATTGTTCTGGTCAATTTTGGTCTCAATTATCTGGTAACTAAAATATTTTATTCTGGCAGGAAGCAATTAACACTCAGATGCACGTCATACTTTGAACTATTGCAAGAGAGCTACGCTAGTTAGAATCTTAAAGAGATTCTGATCCAGTGAAAGTCGGCATCATTTCTATGAGAAACGGAGTGGCACCCGCGGTCCGTGCACTCGCGCGTGTGCTGTGTGCATGCGTCTCATGTCACAGCTAGCCTAGTCCCTCCATGTCACCTCACATACATCTCATTGGGCTAAATTACCAAAAATAAAATGTACAGTGTGATGCAATGCAACCATATATTGTGTGCAGTTTGTATATAAAAAAGAATGATTAAAAGTCGATGAGAGACTGTTTATAAATCTTGATTGCTTCATAATTTTAACTTTGAGCAACATTTTTATCATAATTATAGGCTTTCTTAAAGCATTTATGCAGATTGTTGTTGCTCAAAAGGGGGTTTATTCCATTTTGGTATAAACTACACTTTTTTTTCTTTATGAAATCACTCTTTGGATTCCTAATACCCAGTGCTCAGCCGGAGACGCCACTCCACAGAACAGGGTGTCCTCCTCAGCTGGCCACTGCCCACCTCTGCCCCCTCGTGCCCTGGACACACTGAGGTAAAGTCCTCTGGCCCTCTGAGGCCCACCAAAGGTGACATCACCTCCCTGTGTCATGGCCAAACATTTGCCTACATTCAGTAGTGACAACTCACTGAGACTCAAGCTGAATAACTAGAGGTGTAAGCGTTTTGTAAACTCACAGCCAGAAAAACCATAAACGTTTCTCCAAGGAATCTTCACTTTCACCACATGATTACAGACCTAAAAGAAAAGAACAGAAAGAAAATTCATTGCTAAAATCAAAGCCAAAAAAAGAAAAGAAAATTAAGAAGTAGATACCAGATGACATTGGAGGACAAAGAAAAATGGCCAGTGGTCTGACCAAAGCCCACCTAAAGAGCTCTCCACAATCTGAGGACAAAGACTAATCCTCTTCCCACTCACAATTCCATTTTCAAGGTCTAAAGAATCGATAGACCCTAGAGGGAGTTTACTAGGTATCTATGGATAGAGGGAGGGATGGATAGATAGCCAGGTAGGTATGGACAGATAGACAGATGGGCAGATGGACTCATAGATGGATAGATGGCTGGACTGATGAAGGCCTGGAAGAAGAACCATACCATTAATAAGGAGTAGGGTGGTCAACGCCTATTGTTTATGAAGTAAGGAATGTGAATTCCAGTTGTGCATGGGTTCAGTCAAGGAATGAGCCTTTATCAGCAGGGGTGACAAGAAGTGTAAGATTCAAAAGCAAAAATGGATACCAATAGCACTGGACAGCCCGGTTGCTACCGTGGCTTCCATGCCAAATGTTCTGTGGAGCCCCACCATGCAAGCAGAAACCTCCCTCAAGGACCAGAGTGAACCTCTGAGGGGCTGTCCTGGCCAGCCCACAGGGGCTCCCTGCCTGACCCTGTTGTTTCTGCTGCGCCCCAGCTGGATTTTGGGGGAAAGGTCTGCCGTAGGACTCCTGAGGACAGCCAGGGCAGGCATAAACACAGGAACTTTCCAGAGTTATTGTCTCGTGAAATTATTTTAATCATGAACTGCCTGAGAAGGCCCTATGTTCCCATATAGTATATTGTTACAGGTTTTATGTTATAAAACACATTGCTGTATATAATATATGTGCATACATATTCCTGTACATGCATACGTCAGCGGACTCGTCCTTCTTTGGGAGACAAATATTCAAGGTCTTCTCTCCTGACAGTATGTACCTCTTTGGTAAGGCCTTCCAGTAATTTCTATGTTCAAGAACCAGCCAGGTTCGAGCCAGGCATGGTGTCATATGCCTGTAATCCCAGCACTAGGGAGGCTGAAGCAGGAGGATCATTAAAATTTCAAATCCAGTCTGGGCTAAAGTGAGCTCAAGACCAGCACTGCATAGTGTGACCCTGTCTCAAAAAGAAAACCAAAAACAAAACCAGAACCTAGAAGCTCTTAGCTCTGCTCAGCTCTGATTTGGAGATGATTCTGATGTTCCAATTTCATTCCTAAGCAACAGTCTTTCAATTCCATTCTTACAGCCTCTGGTTTCCTGTGTGGCTCGATGACTGGGGAGCATGGGGCAGAGAAAAAAGGGGGTCAGCCGAGTTCACTTAAATACAGAGACAAGGGGCTGGGGATTTAGCTCAGCGGCATAAGCGCCTGCCTTGCAAGCAGGCAGTCCTGAGTTCAATCCCTGGTACCGATAAAAACGAAAAAGACAAAAAAATAAATAAATAAATAAATACGGAGACAAAAGCCAACAAAGCAGTGCCGTCCATCACTCTACCATCCATCAGTGGGCTCCACGCAAACCCTTGGGCAGCTTCACGGACACTGGGATCACCAGTGCATGTGTTACCTCTAACAGTGAAGGAGCAGCTGGAATTTAAACTTGGAGCCATTTTGAGGGATGTAACCAAGGTCATGAAACCCACTGCATGAACCAGGTCAGTGAGCTCTGGCTAATCTGAGGCCCTGCTGCTCAGGGTGATCTTGGGGCCACCCCTACCCGCATACTGGCAGCACCTCCTGTCTGAACTATGCCCTCCTCACACCAGTAACCTGCAGCCTTCAAGCCCCTCTGTGTGCCAGCTGTGACCTTGGGCCTTGCTTAACCTGCACACTCTAATCTGCATGTCCCACCGCACCTCTGTAGCACCCAGGGACATCACAGCCCCTCCCTCCAAAGCCTTCATGCCACTGCCACCCGGGAAGGACCTCCTGGCCCAGTGTCCTGTGCACCTCTGGCCCTGTGCACTGGTGCTCGTAGAGGTGATGTCCCTGGTTAACCCCTGCCTCCCTGGAAAGATCTGTATTTCAGGAGAAGCCCTGGGAGTGGACTCCTTCACATGGGGAAGAATGAATGAATTGATCTTGACGACCTGTGCAAACAAATTGCTTTAAAAACTCGATGCATCTGTGTCCCCACTGAATCAGGATTAAGATCCATGTGCAGAGAGGCTGTGGTCATTCTAACTACCCCCCGCTCCTCCACCCCATGGCCTCTGCTCTCTGTATTGTCAGAGGGCATGGAGCACTAAGTGACACTCTGATGGCATCCATGAGTGAGGGGGCCCAGGCTGGCCCTGCAGTGAGTTGGGGTCACGTGGCTTTGACTCTGTGTACTGTAAGGTAGACCCTCACTGAAAGATTCATAGTCAGGTTTGAAAACCCACAGGAAGCAATGTGCAGTGCAGTGAGGTAGCTTCCTCCAGAGAAAACCCTACATATTTTTTTAAAGCTTCCTAAAAGCTGGGCGTTTAGCTCAGCGGCACAAGAGCCTGCCTGGCAAGGCGAGGTTATGAGTTCAATTCCTGGTATCAAAAAAAAAAAAAAAAAAAAAAAAAAAAAAAAAAAAAATCTCCCTAAGGATACACTTGTGCCTCTCTACATCTTGCACTCCCATCAAGGATTCTTTATTCTGACCTTCTAGTTTCATGTTTCAGTTCTAAAAGTAAAGAGTTGGCAGCGTGCAGATGTACCGGCTCCAGTGCAAGTGGTGTCAGGAAAGTCTAACAACGATTAATCTGTGTGGTACAGGCACCGTAATGGGATGTGAGCTTGTACAGCTGGCATTCTGCAGGCACACTGGGCATCTCTGAGATGAAAATCTGGAAAGACATCTCAAGGATGGCTGCACCTCGGAGACCCTGTAGGGTGCCTCCCTCACCGGCAGCCATGCCTAGGCATTCTCATCTGGAGGGAAGTACAAGACCAAGGATTCCTGGGAGCTGCTAGGCCTCAACTGGATTGCTGTGGTCAGAGACAGCCTGGTGACTTGGCCTGCCCATCTGTTTTAATTTGTTGCCAAGCTCAGCAAGGCTTGGCTTGGGAAGGAGCAGAGCTGGGAGGAAGCAAGGCTGCACTAGTGGCCCCAGACCTGGAATGCAACAGGGGAGGGAGCTGAGGTAGAGACCAGAGCCTGGCAGTGTTCAAAGGCCTGTTCCCTGAACCACCTGCTGGGCTCCTTTGGGTGCTTACCCAGGCCTGAGCAGTAGAGGCCCATTCTGGCGTGTACAGAATCCCAAGATTGCCTCTGCACTGGGCCAGGCCTCAGCTTTTAGGGATGCTCATCCTACCAGCCCTTGGGTATACCGGGGGCTCTGAAGTGCAAGACCTAGACATGGGTTACAACTCCACTGCATGAGCCCCATTGATATGGGTTTGACATCTGTTTGCCAGAGTATTTCACACTTAGCCTAACACCCACTATTAAGTGACAAAACCATGGCAGCCTGTCAAAGCCAGCTGACGGGCAGCTGCTCCACTTACAAAAACCATTCAAATATTTGCAGGTTTGGAAGCTTTGTGTAGTGCTGTACCCAATCGCTCAGTGATTTACCATGTAAAATATAAGTCAAAGTTTTTAATCCGGCTTCCAAAATGTTTCCACTTTCCATACAAAAAGGGGGAGCTTTCAGGGTGCCTGCTGATATGGGTCCAATCCCAAGGCATCTGGATTCCCACCTCCAGATCCCTGAGCAAACCTCGGTTTTAAAAAACATGAGGACTGGACTCTCTCCTCCTGCTGTCACCAACGTGTAGGACCCTGAACCAAATCATCTTAAACTCTGAGAAAACTGCTTCTCAAAATAGAAGAAAATAAAACCAGCCCCAGGAGACACGTACCTGCCTTATTTCCCCTTCGACAGCGATTCCCAGTCCCTCTGTGGACAGTGAGTTTTCCCAGCCACAGATGAGCCCTCGGCGACTTCCAAACACTCTCCCTGAGATTGGGAAACAGTTTGCAAATGACCTGGTGTGTCTGCAGATTGAGATCCACTGAGGAAAAGTCATGTGGGCTTTTCTGTCCTTGAGATTACAGCCAGACAGAGAAGGACGTTCTGGAAACTACAGCTGTGGGCCCTGGAGGAAAAACTACCCTGCATTCCTCCCAGAGGAAGCTGTGGATGGGCATCCATCCCATCCCGCCGCTGGACAAGGTGGTGGACCTTGACACAGCTGTGTTCCGTTTATTGTTTTTTAAATGTTAATAATAGGTTTTTTTGGGGCAGAACAGGGTCATACTGTAATTTCTTTGGGCAGAAAGTGGGGTCATTGTTTTCCAAAAAGCTGATACAGTAGTTTGCTTTTCAAATTTTCCGAGGAGTCTTGGAGGGTGATGGTCTTAGGCTGGGGTGTTGCAGACATCTTCACACACCTGGGACGGGGAGCAGGCAGGAAGACAGACAGACAGACCCACAAGCACTAGCAGCAGGGACCACGGCTGCAGCCCGCGGTGTCTCCAGAGCAGCATCCCCTCCACCCGCGCCTTGGGCACCTTGGGTGAGGAGGGCCGGCACGGGGGGGGGGGGGACCCACCGAGGTGGAGTCCCTGCTGACGAAGTGACAGCGCGCCCCAGGTCCCTGCCGGGCTTGGTGGCCGAACCGCTGCCCTGAGCCCCGCCCCGACTCTCCATCGCCGCAGCGCGCCCGGAACGCGGGGGCCCAGCGACTTTTTACCTGCGATGCTCTGTGTCCCCACGCTGTCCTGAGAAACCGCCTCCACCTCAGCAGCTGCCTCTGGTCGGGGCTCTTAGGGGAGGGTCAGTGATCGGGGGATAGTGGTCGGGGGACAGTTGAGATTGTCGTAGAGGAACAAGGAGAAAAGGCAGCCAGCGCTGCTCCGGGGGAGGCCTGTCTTGGCGCGGCGCCACTGGCCAAGGTGTCCCCTCGGCGAGACAAAAAGCTCAAGCCCTGTCCCCGCAATGGGAGCCCGCGGGCGAAGACGCGCAAGGGCAGAGTGGGGCGCGGCGCCCGGTCACAACGCGGGTGTCAGGAGCGCGGGTGGGGAAGACTGGAGAGCAGCTCCGGCGGAAGCCGGTGGTGGCGATCTCGGCTCCAGGACCACTGCCTTGGGGGGGGCGCGGCGGAGGGTGCAGGGTGGCCGCCTGGGGTCCGCGCCTCGGAAACCAGGCCAGCGGGCGCGGGGCGCAGGGCGCGGGCGGAGGGGAGCGCGCGGGGAGGCGACTCCGGCTCCACCTCCCTCCGCGGCGTCCCAGCTGCTCGAGAACCAACTGCTCCTTTCTATTCACTGTCGGGGAGGAACAAAAAGTGGCTGTGTATTAGAATACTTGTTTGGCATTGTTCCGCGCCGCACAAAAGGCGTTTCATTGTGCGGAGGGGACCCCCTTTTTCCAGAGAGAAACAATAACTTGAAATTGTCTTTAAAGTCTTTTCTATCAATAATAAATTTCATTTTCTTGTCTCGCCTGCAGCGTGTGTGTCTAGGATGCGTGCGCCGGGCGGGCGAGGAGAGCGCGGCGTGTGCGAGCAGCGGGCGGGCGGGCGCGTGTGAGCGCGCGTGTGAGCGCGCGTGTGAGTGTGCGTGTGAGTGTGCGTGCTCGTGGCGCGGGCGCCGCCGAGAGACGGGCCGGGGTCCGCGGGCGGCGGTGCGGTGCGGTGCGCTCGGAGCCGGGCCCTGCGAGGTGCGGGGCGGAGCTTGGGGCGCGCGGAGCCCGGAGGACGGAACCGTAAGTGGGTCTGGAAGTCGGGGCCTGCCCCGGCCCGGGCGCGGCGGGGGTGGCGGGGCGGGGATGCGCGTCGCCACGCCGTTTCTGGAGGGAGCGCGGGGTGACCCCGGGTGAGAACAGGTGGGCTACGCGGTGACCGGCGCGGCGGACTCGCGGGAACATTTGTCATTTTCTTATCTGTGTTCAGTCTTCCCCCATACCCGGCTTTTTTAGATTGGCCGCCGCCCAAGCGAGCCAGGCCTTCTCTCTCTGAGTCGCCTTTTTTGGGCAAGAGGAGGTTGAGCCAGTGAATTTGAGGAGACGCGGATCCCTGTCCCTGGCGGCCCCCTGCCCGGACCGAGCCCAACTGTGCCAAGGACTAAATCCCTGGACTGAAATTACGTTTTAAAAATTAACTTGTGAAGCGTGTGCCATTTCGTGAGAGCTGTTTTGGGCAAAGAATCAATTTAACGTTGACTGACCGACAGACTTGACTGTGTTAATTCTGCTACCAGGAGAAAAAAAATCTCCGTGAGCCGCGAGTCCTCTATGTACCGCGAACACCGGTCTTCGGACCAGTGTGCCGGCTGGGAACCACCCGGAGCATCGCGGCCTCCACTCTGTCAGCTAGGTGGGCGACCAGAGCATCGGGCTCCCCAAGCTTCGTCTGCGGACCCCACCTAAGTAGTAGGAGCGACCCGCGCGGGGCACCTAGCCCTCCCGAAGCTTCCTCCCTCCTCCAGCGAAATCGCTGCCTGCTTCCTGGGGTACTGCAGCGCCTGGTCCAGGTGCATAAGCCACCGAATCTCCCACCGGAGCTGCCGCCTCTGCCCCTTTCCCGGGTTGGAGCAGCCGGTGGAAAAGAAAGGTCAGGAAGTTTCCAAGATTAAATAGATTTTCTTTGCAAGGCCTGAAGTCAATGGGGCAAGGTGCGACAGGCCAGCGACATCGACCTGGGCAGAGACCAGCAAGCCACCTCTCCCCTGGGCAGGAAACAGGTGTTTGGACACGATAGCGGCTTGCAGTCAATTAACCCATTAAAAGTCCGATTTGTGGCATCGATTTCCTGCAGCGGAGCGGCTGGCATGTGGGAAGCTGCCTTGTGGAAGGGGAAAGCTGGTGGGTAGCTGCCTGGGGGCACTCGAGGGCTGGTGCCAGGACCCAGAAGCTGCCTGCCACGGCAGACGTGGGCAACCAGGTCTTTCCCTCAGGGGTTACAAAGAGGAGTCCTGCCATGTTCTTCCTCTCCTAGATCTGATAGTCTCCCTGGCCATCCCCTCCTCTGCCTGGCAAGTGCGTGTGCCCAGTGGTTGGAGAAGCAGCAGGAGAGGGCCAGTGGCCTCGGTCAGCAAGGTTGTCCATAATGGTCCAGGCTAGGGGTATACTGGGAGAGAAAGACATCCACATGTGCCTCCACAGGCTGCTGCTCGATTTCCTGCCCGGGTAGGTTTCCCCTGGATGAACAATGAAGGCCCAGCAGATCTGCCCTGGTTGGGGGCTTGCACAGGGGACCCTGCTGAGGACCAGCAGAGTCCTAGCACTGTGGTCCCAGGACAGAGATGGCACCAAATGCCTGGGCAGGCAAAGGAAGGAGAGACTTTCCCAGGGACCTGGCACCGCAGGCAGCTTAATCTACCCTAGATCTGACCTGGGCAGAGACAGGAGGCTCCAGGTGGCTGGCCTACCTGTGTGACAACAGAGGACACAGCCCCCTGTGAGGGCCCAGGCACGCTGTGCCCAGCCTCTACTCTGGCATGCACTTCAGAAAGCTAATGTGAAGGAAATGTGCTGATTTCCTAGCCAGAAGACCCCTCCACTGCCCCTTCCTGGGCTCCTTTGTCTTGTGGGGTCCTGCCACTCCCCCAGAGCCACCCCGCAGGTGGAGGAAGGTTGGAAAGGCAGTACCAGCAGAGGAAGGGCATTCCTATGAGTAAGAACAGGTGCAAATCCCTCTTTAGCCAATCTTGTTGCAAACCCATCTCTTTCCTCATGCTCCTAAGTTCAAAAGACAAAGAGAGCTGCCAAACCTTCCCAAAAGCTGTAGCCATAGTGTCTCCAGGGACGTGTGGGCCTTCTCTGCAGCCTCCTGTGTCCAGGTAGCCACCAGACCTCCAATCCAACCAGAGACCAGTGTGGTTCCCTTTCCAGAACAGCTGGGTTGGGTCCCTGTCGTTGGATGAGTGGCATTTGCATGGGCCAAGGGGGCCCAGCTTACCCACCCTGCAGCCTCGGCACTCTCTTGGTGGCCCCTTTTTCTGTCTGCTGCTCTCTGGAGTAAGCAGCCCACATGACTGGAAAGGCTTGAAATTGTGTCAAAGTGATGTTTTAATCTCATTGAACAGTGTATTAAAGGACAAGACTGGGTTTATGTGCGCTGCTCCGATGAAAGGCGAGATTGGAGGGGATGGGCTCTCACTCTGTGAACTGCGTGTCATGTTTATATTGAAGTCCGTGTGGCTAATCTAATTTGCAGTAACAGGGATGGCCTGTAAGAAAAAGCACCTCTGAGTTCACTTCATTTCTTTTCATATAGAAATTCCTTATGACTTGTCTCCTGTTGTCAGGGATGCCTTTTCTGTCTGGGCTAATGAGAGGGGAGAAGAGAGGTAAGACTGGCTCTCAGCTGTCCTTCCTGCGCACAGCCCTGTTCCCCGGCTGGCTGGGGCTCCCGGCCCCCCGGCGCCTCTTGTGTTCAGAAGGACCCTCCACCCCCTGGTCAACCCCTCTGCCCTCTGGGGCCTGCAGGTTGCCTCCTCCCCCAGTGATTCTGGTTTGTGAAGGTTGGTTCATCAGGCACCTCCTATCTTGGAGTGTTTACATTCTGCAAATTTTAATTTCAGAAGTCAGGAAGCACCCCCTGCTCAGGAAAGATGGGATCCTATGCTCACCCCTTGCTGTCTCAGGGATGAGCCCGGCACCCTCTCTCTGCTTTGTGTTCCTGTGACCACGTTGAATGCCCGCCTTGCTCAGGCAGCAACTACGTGCATTAGGAAACCACAACTTTTGCACACTGTAGAAAGACCTGCTCAAGCTGTAAATTATGGGGACTTGTGTACATGAAACTATAGCAGTGACCCATTTAATTTTGCAGTAATTACTGACAAAATAAGACAAGGATGAATCGCAATTCAGTATATTTATCTTGAAGGAGAATACTGTGCTGATGTAGTTCAATACAGAAGAAGGGCGACAGGAATATAAAAAGTACATAAAATTACAGGCTGGAATCTTTTGGGTTAAAACCCCCGAAGGCTGGGCTTAGTTGACTGCCTATTCTAAGAGCCCAGCCAAACAGAGGCGTCAGTGTTTTCTTAAAATCCAAGGCTCAAGAGCCCGTTCCTGTGGTGGGGTCAGGTTCAGATTCACCGTGTTTAGCACAACTTTGTGGGGCATAAATCTAGCAGGCAGCAGAGCAGACAGCCTTCCCTGCCCTGCAGCTTCCTTGGGCGCTGGGGCCCCGCGCAGATCTCGAGGTTTGAAGGCTGTGGCTGGTGGGCGATGCCCTGCGCCCCGAGGCTGCGCCCCGTGGCTGAAGATAGAAATGGAGAGAAGAGGTCACGCATCTCCTGCAGAGCTCCTGCGTCCCATCCACTTTTGCAGTCCTAGCTCTTTTGCAGGCTCTTCAGGCCTAATTGCCAATAGTATCTGCAGCCTAGGTGCCCAGCGGCTGGGCAGGAGCTCGCCGTCCCACTCAAGCCGTCTTTTCTTGCTGCCGACCCTCTAGCACAAGGCAGCCTGCAGCGCCCACGCATGCCTGATGCTCCGGGGCGTCCACTTCGGGCAACAGAGAGAGGAGGAGGGCCGCTCCCGGCCAGGGCACGGTACTGCCTGCCCGGCACCAAGAGTGAAGGCTGGGAGCTGAAACAGCGCAGGGGCCCTCAGATGCCACCAGTGCCAGTGCGCACTAGAGCTTGCCCATGGGCCTGCGCTCGGCCCGGATTGTTGTGTCCTGGGGTGGGGACAGTTGAGAGACTGGGGCCAGTTGCCCAAGCAAGAGGATCGGATGACACTACTCTCTGCAAGGTTCCCATGGGAGAAAGGTCGGGCAGGCCAGGCCAGGAGGACCCAGAGCTCCATAGTGAGACTCCGGTGGTCTGGTATCCTCTCGCGCCCGCAGTCCGCCGTCCTGGGGAGCGAGGGCTGGAGGCCCCCTCGGGTTCCAGCCTTTCCTCCCCTGTCTACTCTCTCATTCATAAACCTGGTGGCTACAGACGCAGCTTGAATATTGACGTCTCTCCCCCGACTGCTCCGCCGTTAACCCAATTACGGAACTCATCAAGAACTGTGTTGAATTATCTCTTTCCATACCGTATCAGCATCAGCCTAATTAAAAGCTATAATGTCTGATATAATGATTAAATCGTTAGCTCTGCTGTAGGGAAGCAGTATTTTGTTTTCCCTTCAATTAGAAGCTGATTGAGGTTTTCAGAGCAGGTCAGCTGTGAAATTTGAATTATATGTGTGCGTACTGCTCACAGGGTGAGCCCCTACTCGAAGCTCCCAGAGATTCTCCGAGCGCTTGCAGCCAGTGCCGGGAGGCGCGCAGGCACGCGTTGCCGAGTGCTCCGCTGCGTTGGGGTCGCCGCGCTAGCTCGCTGAGGGCTGGAGGGACGCCTCACTGTCAGAGGCAAAGAATTTCCATCCCCTTTCCCGCCGGCGCAGTCGGAGCCGCTCTCCAAACCCCGATGCAGGGTTGGTCCTTGGCGCGCGACGTGCTTTTCCGCACAGGAGCTGGAAAGCTGGGCTCCGGTCTGCCCCTGTAGGCTCAGGGTTGCCCCAAGTTCCGCACCTGCCAGTGGTTCTCTTTTCCTTCACCTCCCACAGGCTCCCCTTCATCTCGACTTGCTTCCTTACCTTTATCAAAAAAGAAGAAAAGAAATGAAAAAACCTTTGCAATACTTTGGCCCTTTTGCTTTTGGGGGTAAGAGCAGAACAAAGTTAGCGCAGGACCCGTGCGCGGAGGATGGGCTGACAGCGCGCGGGGCGCGGGGATGTGAGAGGAGAGGTCCCCTCCCCCTCGTCTACCCTCAGCGCGCGCCCGTACTGGGAGGCGGACTCGGACAGCGCGCGGCTACCAGCGCTGGACCTCGCGCGGAGGCGGCACCCGCTGCAGTTCCAAGGCCTCAGAGGCTCCGCAAGGGCAGCGAGGGCTGCGGCGGCCAGCAGACGGCGATCGCGGCCCGCGCCGCAACAGCGCCAGTAAAGCCCAGGCAGCTCCACCGGGCTCCGTGGGCGCTGGAGATCAGCCGTGGTCCGCTCCCGCCTTCCCTCCGGCCCCACCCGCCTCCCGCAGCCCCCCGCGATGCACGCCTCCTGTTGGCCAAGATGACCTCAGAGGCCACTTCCCAAATGAACTGTGCTTTCTTTTTCTCTCTCCCGCGCTTTCTTTGCCTCCGTCCGCCTTCTGGATGGCTACTGTTTTTCTCTAAAAGTCCTTCCTGGTCACTGGCGGCCTCTCAGGAGGTGGTCTCAGCCCTTTAGGGGTGACGCCAGAGCCCTAAAGCCTTGCCCTTGGTGATCAGGGAAGGAAGGCCTTTCTACATGGCCTACCTCCCCAACGAAAGGGAGTTAGAGCAGTCTAAGCGCCATCCCCCAGATGTCCCAGGCTGCCCGCGCTGCCGTAAGCAAGGACATTTTTTCTGTCCCCAGTACTCATCCTGTCCATCAGGCTCCTTGTTTGGTGCAAGAGCTGAGGGACAGAAATCCATTGCTAGATGCCTAAACGCTAGCTAGCTTTCATGTCAAAGTTACAGGGCAGGGATTATGTCCACAGGGACCCACTCTGCTGCCCACATTTTTCAAGAGCACAGCCACAGGTGAAGGGAAGCAAAAGCTAAGCGTTATTTATCCCGGAGAAGCAGCTCGAGCTGGCGCTGTTAAAGTCCAGGATTCCGATGATTTGAAAGTCAAGGGCTCTTGTGGCACTGCTCAGATACATGGCTCACTGTGCATGCATGCATACGCAAGCATGCCCACATAGATATGCACGCATTCTCTCCTCCAGTGGTGGTTAGAGTCTGACTTTCCTTTGAGGATTAGGACCACAGCTGAAATTAAAAACTTGAAAACATCTTTACCTATAGTTCTAAATTGGCCTTCTCTTTGGCACCTGGTGCACAAGCTCCATGAAATTTCTGCGTTGCTGAGGAAGCAAATCTGGTCAACTCATAGTGAAGCTAATCTTTTGCCTTGGGTCCTGGACATCCTCTGATATCATTTGGAAATAGTACAGTCAGCCTTCAAACAGTCAAGAATCTGGCTCTGGGGAGGAACTGGGCAGGATGCGGGTCCCTGCCAACCTGGCGGGGGTGAGAGACAGGCAAAGTGCTTATCAAACTGGCTTTGGACCCTTTCCTCCGTTTTTGAAGAGTCACTTGTAGGGTGGTGGGGAGGAGGAGCAAGAAATCGAGGCTCCTGGAAGCCATCACCGGCAGGAGTTAATAGGCTGCCCCTCAATCCTGGTGCCAGGGTAGAAGGCACTGGGAGGTCTGGTACACAGGCCTCCCCACTGCTTCACTGGCACCAGCTGCCACTGCCAATCATCTATCACTTGGCAACAAGTCCTACCTGGAGCAGCCACTCTGCAACTCAAGCAGGTGGGCACCCATGGGGTGGGCACTCTCAGGGCTGGGAGACATCTCATCACTGGAAAGGGCCCACGGAGAGCACCCCAAGAGATAAGCAACCAGCATGGCCACATGCAGTGCGGGGCCATTTACCTCCTAGTTAGACGCTCTGGAAAACAAGAGTAAGGTTGTATTTGGAAACAATTTTCAGGGCTCTGGTGGAAAGAAATGAGAGCATTTCAAAGTCAGCTATCCAAGTTCCCAAAGCATAAAGCATTCCTGCAAAGCACAGTGGAGTGCAGGGTGTTTATAAAATAAATTGCTCCATTGATATGGAAAATAATGTGCTAAGCCTGATTCATACAAAGCATTTTCAGGGGGTCTTCGGCTATTTAGTTTAAAATCTAAATTGAAAAGCAGAGGAAAGAAATCTTTCAATTGCTAAGTGGATAATATAGTTTATAATTTGTAAACCATTTCCTTTATTTCAGTCTTGCTGACTTCCCTAACACACGGGATCTCACTGCACACCCATGGCCTCCTAAATTATCCGAGGAAAAATGGGTCTATAACATTTTTAAACAATATTCCTGTTCCTTTTTTGTTCATTCACAATGTAACTGATATTTGTAGGTAGTGCATGAAACAAATAGAAAGATTTAACAAACCTGATTGTTGAAATAAGAAAGTAGTTGAAAATGGAGTTTACAGCCTAGGTATTTAGCAAAAAATAAGCATGAAATGATGTTTCATTTCTAGTGTAATTATACATTATTGGATGAGTTTACTATTAAATGCTGAGTGTCTTGAGATGAAGTCAGTTTAATCTGCAGCGAACTCAGTCTGCTGGGCACTGCATATTGTAGCAACCCTGCAATAAAAAATAACAGTAACAATCACATTGGGAGGAAAGAAAGCATTGCTGTTGTTCCTTGGACAAGCAGCAGGGTCAGGAAACTCACAACCTTGGATTTTGTTTGAGAGAAAGAGAGGAGTGTCTCTTCACAGCTCAGCATCCCGGACACCCCCCTACTTCCATTACCCTAGCATCCTCACCCCATGCACATTTCTGACACAAGAGGCCAGCCTGGAGACATCTGGGAAGGCCCCACTTTATCCACCACCAGTCTGCTCAGGGCCCCTCACCCCAGAGCACAGTCGAACACTCTCCTGCAGTCCTGGAGGACCAGAGGAGTCAATTCGCAGTTTTGGGCCACTGGACTACTCTGAAGGGAAACTTAGCGGGAACCCAACAGCTTGTGAGATTGGGTTTGGAAATTTCTTGCACCTCCGGCCACCGGGGACGTGTAGAAATGTAACAATTATAACGGAAGGTGAATGCCTTGACCATCGCATGAGCCCCGGCCCTTCTTCCGCCTAATGTAGGAAAACCGCTCCTGCCCCCTGGCCATGAGCCCCTCCTTTCCATGGCGTTTTGGGTGGACCCGGCACAATTCAAGGAGTTGTGGCAGTTCCTAGGCAGCTTGAGGAACATTCGTTCCATTAAGGGTTGGCCTAGATCATCTTTTTCGGTTCCAAAAACTTTCTGAACCCTCGGAGTAGCTAAATTCCGAATAATCTTGTTTGTGACCTTCCCAGAAATTCAATATGAGGTAACTAAATTTGGAATCATCCCTGACTATAACCCTCGTGCTCCTTGAAAGACCCCACCCCCTCATTGCGTGGGAGAGTTCAGGGCCGATCCTAAAGGTAGGCAAGGATTACCATCCCCCACTCCCTGTGGCCCGGACGCTGCGGTCCTGGATTGCCACGGCCTGCTTGTCGGTGAGCACGGCGACAACTCCAAACGCGCCGCAGGAAGGCTGCATCGAGCGCGGGGGGAGGGGGACTCCATGCTCGAACGCGCAGAACCCAGGGAGTCTCCAGCGGCCTCAGTTTGACTCTGCTCCACTCTGCAGCCACACGCAGCTGAGACGCCGGCCTGGTCTCCAACTTTCCCCTTCCCTGGTGGAGTTAGCTGGCGGGGCAAGGAGGAGGAGCTGGGTCTCAACGCGCTCCTGGAAACCTGGCCCGGGATATTCCTCCCGCACCCCTCCCATGATCCTTTCTTCCATCGTGCTTTTAAACCCAATCGTTAATCATTCGGAGCCCGCGGGAGGGGAGAAGCCGGGTGGGGGTGGGGGCGGGCGAGCTCCGGGTTCGCAGCCGCGCGCGCGAGCGCGCTCAGGAAGCCGGGTGGCTGTGACCCCCCTCCTGGGCCTCTTTCCCCCTCCTTCCTGCCCTCGTTCCCCCACCTTCTTCCTCTCCTTCTCGCTCCGCCACCCGCGCCCGGGGCATCTACTCCCTCCCCACGTCACTCGCCAGCGCGCCATGCAAATCACCGCCGCCGCCAACTCCCATTGGCCGCAGCGCGCTCATTTAATGGCAGCCCGGGCCCGGCGTATGGCTGCTGGGCCCCGCGCACCGCCAGCCCCGCGTGCGCCTCCGCTCTAAGCGCACCGCCCCAGGCAGGCAGCGGGCAGCCCGTCCCGGGTTCAGCGGCCCCGCTCTCCGGCGCTCCTTGCACGCCCGCGCTGCCCCTGACCCCCTCCCTGACTGGCCCGCGCTTGCCCCCTCCGGGGCCCCCTCAAACCCTCCCCCCGGCAGCCGGCTCCCCCCCGGGCACCAGGGACCGGCACATGCCCAGAGCACGCGGCGCATCGCACCGCTAGAAGTTGCTGCCCCGAGTTGGAGGGCGCTGAACGGCGTGCGCCAGAGACCGAGGCGGCGGCGGTGAGGAGACAGCGACCCCCGGGCCGGGCCCAGCGCAGCGCTTCCGGCCAGGAAAGTGGAGCTGCAACTTGGGCACCACAGCACCTGTTTGCTCAGCTCCGCCAAGGGTGACTGGGTGGCGGCGGTGGCGGCGGCGGCGGCGGCGAGAGCGACCCCGGCCGGCGGCCTCTTTGGCAAGTGGTTTGTGCACGAGGAGAAACTTTACACCTGCTAGCCGGACCGGCGCTGAGCGCGTGTGCTTTGGCCTCTTTCTGTTGTTGCTGCCACCCCACCCCCATTCTTCCTGCATCCCCCCCACCCCTGGCCCTCTCCGCTTCAGCTGTCTATGTGCCAGGGCCTCCGCGCGCGGCGCCGGTGAAGCGCGAGCCGCCCCAATGTACAGCATGATGATGGAGACTGACCTGCACTCGCCCGGCAGTGCCCCAGCCCCCACGAACCTCTCGGGCCCTGCCGGGGCGGGCGGCGGCGGCGGCGGCGGGGGCGGAGGAGGGGGCGCCAAGGCCAACCAGGACCGCGTCAAGCGGCCCATGAATGCCTTCATGGTGTGGTCGCGCGGGCAGCGGCGCAAGATGGCACAGGAGAACCCCAAGATGCACAACTCGGAGATCAGCAAGCGCCTGGGGGCTGAGTGGAAGGTCATGTCCGAGGCCGAGAAGCGGCCGTTCATCGACGAGGCCAAGCGGCTGCGCGCGCTGCACATGAAGGAGCACCCAGACTACAAGTACCGGCCGCGCCGCAAGACCAAGACGCTGCTCAAGAAGGACAAGTACTCGCTGGCCGGCGGGCTGCTGGCTGCCGGAGCGGGCGGCGGCGGCGCGGCTGTGGCCATGGGCGTGGGCGTGGGCGCAGCAGCGGTGGGCCAGCGCCTGGAGAGCCCGGGCGGCGCGGCGGGCGGCGGCTACGCGCACGTCAACGGCTGGGCCAACGGTGCCTACCCGGGCTCGGTGGCGGCGGCGGCGGCCGCGGCCATGATGCAGGAGGCACAGCTGGCCTACGGGCAGCACCCGGGCGCGGGAGGCGCGCACCCGCACGCGCACCCCGCGCATCCGCACCCTCACCATCCGCACGCGCACCCGCACAACCCGCAGCCCATGCACCGCTACGACATGGGCGCGCTGCAATACAGTCCCATCTCCAACTCGCAGGGCTACATGGGCGCATCGCCCTCGGGCTACGCCGGGCTCCCCTACGCCGCCGCCGCCGCCGCCGCAGGAGGCGCGCACCAGAACTCCGCCGTGGCGGCGGCGGCGGCGGCGGCGGCCGCATCGTCGGGAGCGCTGGGCGCGCTCGGCTCGCTGGTCAAGTCGGAGCCGAGCGGCAGTCCGCCCGCCTCGGCGCACTCGCGCGCGCCGTGTCCCGGGGACCTGCGCGAGATGATTAGCATGTACTTGCCCGCCGGCGAGGGCGGCGACCCGGCAGCCGCCGCGGCACAGAGCCGCCTGCACTCGCTGCCGCAGCACTACCAGGGCGCGGGCGCGGGCGTCAACGGGACGGTGCCCCTGACGCACATCTAGCTCCGCCGGGGCGCGGGGACACTGCGGTGACGCCGAGCGCACGGCCCGCCGGGCGGCCTTTCGGGCCGGGCGCGGCCTTGCTTTTGTACAGACGTTTGTTTCCGCGCCCCGGGAACGCGCAGACAATGGAGAGCGCGAGCGCCTGCCCGGCGACACCGGCCCCTCGTCCGCCGTTCAGGGAGGCCCTGGGGAGGACGCGGCGCTGACGCGAGTCCTGCGTTTTAGACTGAACTTCGGTGTTTTCTCGAGACTTTTTGTACAGTATTTATCATCCACGGAGGAGGCAGGAAGCTGTTCTCTGCTTAAGGGGACAAAAAGACAAAAACACGTGAAAGGCGATGCCAACTTTTGTATCTCGGCCAGCGCGCGCCTTTCCTCCCCGCACCGCCCCCGCTCCCGACGCTTGCCTGTCGAGGCCGAGCGGCCGCCCGCCAGCGGCCCGCACCTGTTACAGATGTAGTAAGGCGGATCCAACACGCGGTTTTTTGTAGTCCTTACCGCTCTTTTAGTTTGGTTTGTTAATTTATACAAAGAGGACACCCCCACACCCTTCAAACGGCGGAGATATATTCTGGGTTTTGTAAAACTTTCTGTATCAAGCATTTCCCACTTTTGATTTTGTATTATTTCTTGTAAATGCATTGTGAAATTTTTATTTTAGACGTTGCGGTGCGGGGAGGAGGAATCAGATTGTGTACATAGTTCCCTAAAAGCCTTTCTTCTAAAAACCGAACAGATTCTCCCCTTAAAATGAGATGAGTTTTGAATCAACAAATTTAAGAGCGAAAAAGCGCATTTTCCCCTATAAAATTGAAACGTGCTAATTTTATATGCATGTTTTATGAGTTCAACATGCAACTAGTAATCCGTTGAAGGAGAAAGAGATTGTCAGCAAGGACCGAGAGCCAGGGACCCCGGGAGAGGAGGCAGGGTCTCCTCTAGCGTTAATCCTCGGAAGAAAGACAGTTAAAATGAACGGATGATTTCGCAGAGCACAGGGTTCACACGGAAGGAGCCGGGATTGCAGGAGTAGCCTACCACCCAGCTCTCCCACTGCAGCCTGCCTGCTTGCCGCGCGGTGAGTCCTCACTGCTGGTCCGCGCTGCGCCCAGCAGGGCTCTGCGAGGCCGCGGGCTTAGAGAAGGGGAAGAGGGGGACAAAGGCCTTGGCGAGGGCACTGTGTCCTCAGTTTCCCAGCAATTACGATTGCAAGCTTGGGTGTATCAAGATTCGGTTCCAGGAAACAGTCGCTGAACCGAAACGCGGTCCCTGAGCCCTCCGTGCTGCCCGGCCCCGGAAAGGGCGCTGCACTCCCCATGGATTCTGGTGCGCAGCCCGCTTGCCTCCCTCCCCGCGCCAACAGGGTGCCAGTTGCTAACCGATGTGAACGCAAAATGCCGTGTTTATTATTTCTGACAAGATCTTGAGGTTGTTTGATGCTTTAAATTTTTTAATTATATTTTTTCTAGATGTTTATTGGTACATTGCAGTTTTTTTTTCCTGGAATTTAAAGTTTTCTGTAAAACTTTGTCTTCAAGTAATCTGACAGCATTAAATATTGCATTTAAAGTTACACTGTAGCGAATACATTTTGAAAATACCCGTAAGGTTAGGATGAAATTCTGACTTTTAAAAAGAAAAAATTCTTTGAGTCTGGGAGATGATTTCAGCAGTGTCGCCACACCCGTCTTCTGAAGGTCTCTGCTGGGAAAGAGGGAGGCTGCCCTTTCAGAGCCGTCCTGGCTGCTGCTGTGGTGAGAACCTAGTTCAGGCCGCCTCCAGAGCAGCTTAGGTGTCACTGATGCTAACAGTTCTCCTGTGTCATTTTTGCTGGTCATTTTGATAGTTTTGCTTAAACCACTCATTCGTTGAAGTAACTGCAAAAAATTCAGGGACCATGTCCATTGCTTTCTGACCAGATAATAAAAAAAGTCCCCCCTTTTCTCTCTCTCTCTTTTTCTGTCTCTCTTCCTTTTAGGGATTTTTCTCCTTTCTAAAACAGTTGTCTCTCAAGTGCCAGTAGGTGTGGATGTTGGAGAGTGCATTGCCTGGAGGCACAGGGCCAGGACCGGGCTCCTGCGCAGGCCGGCAGGAGGTGCCTGGGAATTCCACTGCTTGCTCTGTACTTCAGGCCAAGATTCCTGGCCGGTCCTCATTGATCCTACAGGAGAGGCAGAAAAGCTCTCTGCAGATTCCTGGCCTCAACACCCCAACTCCTGACTTGGGTGGGAGACAGGCAGGTGGCTGTGCCCACCTGTGTGGCTGCCAGGCCTCTGTGCTCACTGGACCAGGCACCTAGATCTTGGTTCAGGCACAGAGAAGAACCACCCGCTGAGCACGGGACTGTGCAAAGTTGTGCTGGGAACACCGCCCACGTTCTTGGAGCCTTAAGTTTTATATTTCTGCTTCTCCCGGTCAGCTGGAATATTCAGTGCTGGATACTCCACACTCCTTCCTTTTCTTTTTTCTTTCTCTTTCTCTTTTTCTTTCTTTCTTTCTTTCTTTCTTTCTTTCTTTTTTTTTTTTTTTTTTGTTCTGTTGATTAGCACTATAGGGAGAAGGGCCAATATAAATTCTTTAATGACTTAATTTAAAAACAACAGGAGGGGGATTAGCAGGGGTTCTTCCAGGACGGAGACCCTATCTCTCCATCGTCTTTCTAGCTTAAGTTGGTGGCGGGAGATTCCCACCAGACCCCTGGGCCCACTCAGTCTCAGCTGCCTGGGTAGCATTGGCTTTCAGTGCTCAAGGAAGTGCAGCCTGAGGCTGGTCAGGCTATGATGACTTCATTCCCTGCCAGCACCTTACAGTCCCGCCTGAAACCTGGCAGATCCTGCTTCGGCCTGGGAGGAAGGAAGGGGTCCCGACTTCCTTCAGGCACTGCAGGCCTGAGGTCCTTCTTTCTCTTTCACTCTGATTTTTGTTCCTCCTGATCTTTCTTTTTTTCTTTCCTAGCTTTGTTTTCCAACTCACCAGCCCCTTTTTATTGTGGTTGTTAAGACTTTGCCACCCTCCCTCCAAGACCCCACGGTAGCTGGATGAAACGAATTAATTTTTTGAAGGAGTTACGGGTGCAGGCGCCTCGTCTGCAGCTGTGTCTGGGAGTGTGACTGATGGGTCTATTAAAATCATGCGTGTGGGAGAAGAATAACACTCAGATTCACGCATTTCATTTCCCCAACAAAGACTGGGCACTGCAGAGCTGGGCTCCTGAAAATTCCAGCAGATTCCAGAAATTCGCCCCAGGACACGTGCCCCCTGGGGGGCACCCTGGCTGGGCTGGTGGGCAGGGCTAAGCACCCGGTGCCCTGGGCCTTGTGAGCTTGGGCCTCCCTCACCCCTTGCTTACAGCCAGGGGCCGGGGTCCAAGCCAGGCTTTGAGTCCTTGGAAACTTCCAAAGAAAAGACTTGGCTTTGTGGGGCCCATGTTCCCAGGGTGACCGTTGTCAGGATGCAGGGGCCTTGGCAGATGAGGGAGCAAGAGGCGGCCCCTGGGATTGGAGTAACCCCCAGTCCTGCAAGGTGGTCTTGATGCCTGTGTGTGATGGGCACCCGAAGCTTCCCCTCGCTCTGCGCAGCAGCTCCACAGCCGCAGGGCCCAGCCAGTGCAGGGCGAGTTCGCCCTGCTCCCCTCTTCCCTGCCCTGCTCTGGCCTCCTTCCATCAGCCTTCTCCACCCCTCTCCAGCCTCACCCCGTGGGCCATTGGGGTGGGAGATCCTGGGGTTGGGGGCCAGAGGCCCCTAGGCTCCCTCTCTGCCGGCCTCTGGGCCCAGCAGGAGCCACCGATAGTCCTCCAGGCTCTCTCCCCGCCTTTGCTCTAGAGCTCCGCGGGGCCTTTGTCTGCGCCCCCGCCCAGCCCTTGCCCCTGCGCGCCCCTCAGAGGCCTGGCTGATCAGGCAGCATCCCTACAGGTTCTCCGTGAGAGCCGAGGTGGCGGCTTGGACTAGGATGACCTGGGAAGAGAGGGCAGCACTCTTTGTGACACAGGCGCGGGGAATAATTCGAGTGGCCTAATGGGTTGGCGCAGAATGAGCTCACTAGCCCGCCCAGGTCAAAGCAACAAGTGGGCCAGGCAGGTCCAGCCAGAAGCCTGTACCCAAGGACAGGCTGGGCTTGTCCTCCTTCCCCTCCCAAAAGGCCCTAGGGAGAGTGCACCAAGGTCCCCACCAGGGGTTTGCAGACTGAGGTTTTTCTCCGTAACAAAAACTCTAGACCAAGTCCAGGGCTCTGTCCTGTCCTCCCAGACCCTGCTGAAACCTGCCTGCTCCTGGTCTCTCTGGGCCAGGTTGTGAGGGGGCTGAGATGTTAGGGTTTTTGTGGAAGTGCAAGATGCAGAGGTTCATCTGGAGTGCAAGGTGCAGGGTGACAGCAGAGGACAGAGACGGACAGGAGGGAGGGGCCTTCCCTCCTCAGAGCATCAGCCACACCATGAAGAGGCTTAGCAGATGCCGTGCACCCTGAAACAGAGCAGGGGCTCATTTATTCTGATAATAAAGCTGAAAGCACAGAATTGTCCTGTTTTTCTCTAAATTTGCACTTGCAAATGTGAAAATACTAATACAGAGACATAGCAGTTGGGTTTTTAAACAACATGGAATAAGCAAGTCGAGTGGACTTGCTCATCGGGAGCTAACTGAGGCTTTGGGAGGTGGTGGCCTGGGTTCTGAGTTCCAAACCAGCCCCAGGCTGCTCCTGGACTTGCTCTGTGTGCTCCTCAGGAGGATTCGTCCAGGCAGCAAGCCAGACCTCTCCAGAGACTCTGCAGGTCCTTCAGGCTGCTTGCAAAGGTCTAATTGCCTGGAGCCCCTTTGGACCATGTGGGTGCAGTAGAGATGCTGTTTGTGAAGAACAGCAGGTCATCAGATGCAAAGCCTCGAAATAGTCAGCCAGTCAAATCAGTGGGAAAAAAATCAGCTTTTGTTAGATTTTGCAGTTTCAGGAATTAGGCATTCACTGCAGAGCTGCAGTTTTGAGAAATCGCAATGTCAGGCGCGTTCCCAGTGGGAAAATATTGTGAGTGTGGAGGAACGTAAGACGGCCTGACAACGGGAACTGACAGAAGTCATCACCCAGGCATTGTTTTCCCTCCAGCACCCCGGAAATGCTAAGGAGCATGAGACTCAGCGCGCATGGCTGGGCTGCCGTCCTGGGAATGCAGCTGGCAGTAGTGTCTTCCCAGAGGCTGAGGGCTGGCCCGGGGTCCTGGGGCGGAAGAACTGCCTGTGGGGATGTAACATGACTCGTGGGAGAGGCATGGCGCCTTCCTACCGCTCGGTTACAGAACAGGAGGCAGCTGGCAAACGTGTTTTAGCCCAGAGACCATGGAGCAGGAAGTGGAAAGGCCCCTCCTGTGCCAGGTAGCAGACTAGGAAGGACCCAGGCCTCTGTTGGACGCTGAACAAAAAAAGACTTCTCCTAGCCCTGCATGCAGGGCCACCCGAATCTTCCTGACCAGCTGAACTTTTGTTCACCTGTGCCTGCACCCAGTTATCCCAGCTTCCCAGACGGAAGACATCAGCCGGCTTCCCTGAGCTGCATTCTCATGGGCACCCTGGCAAGTGACCACGTGACACTGAGGCCTGGTTCCACAGTGGGAATGTGAACTAGCACCGGTGCCCAGGTGCCCTCCATGAGAGCAGAGACCCTGGCATGACCACCTCATGCCCACAGGTGGACCAGGCCTTTCAGCAGAGTTCCTGACAACCAGCCCAGCCTCTGGTGAGAGAACGTCCCACGGCCAGCTTCTTCTGGGGCATGAGCCGTGCATCTGACCTGTTCAGGGGCTGGAACCCAAAGATGAACCCCACAGGCCTCCTGTCTGCCAAGTGTGACACTTGGTGACACAGAAGGAACCACGTCCAGGTTGCAGCTGGGCAGCAGAGGTACCAGATGCCAGCAGAGCCTTCTAGCTCGACAGGGGTGTTCAGAGAGCTCCCCAGAATGGTGATGCATGGGGCTACAAGATCACTGAGCACCCCTTGGAGGGCCAGACACTTGGACCAGAGCCTGTGTGGGATTCAAGGCTGCATGTTCATGTATCGTAAGTAGCTACCAAGGCCGAGATGAAATTATTATGATCTGAATATCAATTTACTACCAATAAAGTGTTTTCCCTAAGTTATTCAATTTAGGTGATTTTTTGAAAAACTGAATTATTGGGAGAAGAAAAAAGCAACTGAGCTGAATTCGTAGAATTTTGTGGTGGGAGAGGAGAAGCTGATCCCAGCTGCATCTGGTATCCAGGCCTGTGTGTCAGCCCCTTCAATGGCGACTCCACTGCCCACAAGTGGACTGGGTTGGGGCGCAGCCGGTGGCACAAGCCAGGGACAGGGGGCTGCTCTAGCTGCAGGAGCCAGATGGGACACCATGGCCCCAGGTCCTTGAGCCATGCTGTGGTGTGGGTGAGGCATTTGGAGGGCGATGGCAGGGCCATACCAGGCTGCCCTCAAGGTGATGAAGACCCAGTGTGGTGAGGACATTTCCATGCCAAGTTTCTCAGTCTCATCACCTGGGAAGTGAGTCCCTGAAAAAAGACAGGATGCCCAGGACTGAGAACCTCCAGGAGGATAAGGCAGTGTGCACAGAGAGGTGCTGGGGGAGGCCAGCTGGGAACCTCAGCACTGTCTGCCCCAAAGCCTGCTTCAGCAGCTGAGGCTTCTGGCCATCAAAGGGCAGGATGGATGGCAGGGGGTGTGGAAGAACTTGGCATCTGAATAGCAAGCGAGGAAAATAAAGTTTAAACAAGACAGAATGAGATATGGTTCTTATTTTTAAAAATGTAAATGCTCTTTTAAAAGTCAGGTTCAGCGATGCACACGTGTAATCCCAGCACTAGGGAAGCTGATGCAGGGGCCTCTCCAGGTCAGGGCCAGCCTGGACCACACAGTGAAACTGGTGTGAAAAAGAGGGGAGAAGAGGGAGGGAGGTACAGGGAGGAGAGGAAGAAAGCAGAGTGGTGCATATCTGTAGTCCTACTTGCCCAGGAGGCTGAGGCAGGTGAATTGCTAGAGATCACAAGTCCAAGAACAGCCTGGACATGGTAGCAAGGTCCTACTTTACAAAACCAAAGTAAAAAAATAAGATGTTCATTCTAGGTAATAGCTCATTTATTTCAGTCTCTGAACAAAACTGAATTATCCATTTTACTCCAGGAAATTATACAACATTCAAAAAATAATGTATACACCAGCTATAGTGACTGTCGGTGGAAAAATAAAATTGCATTTAAAGTCTCAGCTCCAATTAAATCCCTCAGTTGCATAAGACATGATACAAGAAAAAACCTACAATCAACCTGTACGTGACAGGTTCAATATCAATTTGAACAGCATACATTTTTACCTAATGTGACACAGTTGTAATGATATTAAATTAGGCCTGAGGAAAATAGAACATTTAGGGTAACAGGTTAAGGTGTATTTTCCCGTTCAGGTTTTGTTTTTATTCACATTCCCAGTCGGGGCTCCCTGCCCTGCCCTGGGCCAATGCTGCAGGCTTGAGATCTGGCCTGTGGACAGAGCCTTTCAATACACTGGAGCACAGGTGCAGGGTCCAGCGAGCCCCACTCCTCAGGACAGCTTCTGTTCTGCTCAGTTATGCAGTAACTTGCGATCACAGGCAGCAGTCCTGCTCTGGGTAGGCGGCGGAGGAGCCTGGTGACTCGGCTCTCAGGTCTTGGGCTCAGTGTAGTGCAGGGTGGCTGTTGTCTCGTCTCTCACTGCAGAGTGTGATGCTGGGGCACCTGGGCTTCGCCGTGGAACCCTATAGGGACCAGAGCCTTTGCTGTGACCGAGGTGACCCGGGAACCACAGGAGGCAGTGGGACTCGGCCCGGAGCTGGTGAGGTGCAGGAGGATGGTGCCTGGCCCTGCACCAGCTGGGGGGATCCTTGTTCCTTGGTTGGTGGCCACAGAGGCCCCGGGTATGCTGACACATGAGGGACAGCTCTGCACCTCGAGATTTCAGGATGTACCAGGTGGAGGCCCCCAGGGGTTGTTGGGTATCAGGGGTATAAGGGGTTGTTGGTGGGGTTTCAGGGGAGATGATCCTCATCCAGAGGGAGCTGGGACTCTGATGTATTGCTCGATGGGGCTCCTGGCAACACCTCCAGCCCATCTCCATGCTCAGTCTGTTACTCTCCCCTTCGGCTTATCCCCTGTCGGCTTCTCAGTGTGGACGGATCTGACTTGCTTGCCTCTCTAAACACCTGTGTGCACGGCTGGAAGTCTGTTTTTTGAAATGGAATGATCGTGGCAGATGGGGCAGAGGAAGCAAACAGTTGCTTCCTGGAGACAGCTTGCCAGGTCACCTGTCTCCACGGCCCCTGCTCTGGCCACTCCCAAACTCCAAGCCAGGGTACCCTGGGCCCTACTGTGCATGGGGGTGGGAAGAGCTCGGGATAGTTTTGAATTCGTTTGGGCGCTGCCGTGAGAACTTGAGCTGGGCAGCTTGCATTCCCTGCGTGAGCCTGTGGGTAAGTCCCTCTGGACAACCTTACAGCTTTGAGAAAGCCGGTCTCAGCAGGTGCCCTGCCCAAGATACTTCTGTGGGTACCAGGTACCACCCAGGAATTGGGTGCTGGGTCCCCGGTCTGGCCTTGTGGGGCTTGGCAAGCCAGTGCCACATGGTTTTTTTGAAGAGCAAATCAAAAATATTGCTTTTCTTCTGATCTGTGTGGGTGTGTATTTTTGAGTGGTTGCTAGGCAATTAGCAAAGAAGTAGATGGAGTCGTCAGGACTTGACTACGGAGCCCCGGCCAGCATTTGTTTCTACCGGGGCTCGAGGTGGTGTGAAGAGTTTCACCGTTCAAACCAATATTGAAGTTGCAACTTACAGATTACAGGAGAATTATTTTGCCTATGCAGTTGTGTTACTTCTTGTAAGCTGTACTTTAAGTGCAATTTTATTTTTCCTGCAAATAATTGCTGGAGGTGATATATTCATTTTGGAATAATAAAGTGTTGGTTTAATTAGTTTTAAGAATTTTATATAATTTCCCTCAGTAAGTGGATAATTTAGTTTATTATCCAAATTTCATAGTCAGTGTTTTGGAATTGAGAGTATATTTCTAATAGTATTCTCATCTTACAGAGTGAAATAAATGATTTATTTATTTTTTAAAAAGGAACAAGAAAGTTTTGACATTACCATGATACTCCAATTAACATAACCAAATTTAAATCTATGCTACTCGGGGAATTGGAGACGAGAAAGCATGAACGTGTGAACCCATTTGCCCAGGGATGGCTGGCCCAGCTGTGCAGTCTCCGTCTGTCCGGGCTCAGGTGCCCCTGCCAGGGACTCTACCCACTTTCTGAACGACGCTAGTCGGTGAGTTTTGACTACCAGCAAATTGGCTTCCACCCACTGCTACTTCACTGTCCTGTTGTGTTGACTTGAATTTAAACAATTCAGTTCATGTGCGTTATTTCTTTCTCCAGCCTAGTGTTGTTCCCCTCGTGGGAACCCACGCACACACACCTGCAGCTGCGGTGTCTGCAGTTCAGTCCCTGCAAGTGAAGTGGCCCGTGCCCATAAGGAGGTGGCTGTGACCCTCGCCTCTAGGTGTGGGAGTGGCTGAGCAGGAGCAGCAGCCTGGGGCCAGTGGCTCAGGGGTGAGCGCTTGCCCAGAACGCACCGGGCCCTGGGCTCCATCTTCGTGTCACGAAAACAAAACAAAGCCAAGCCAAGCAGGCAGGATGGTTATTACTGTTGCCATGAGACCCAAACTTTTGTCAGCATTTTTATTTTTCAAATTATTATTTTTTATCTTATATGTTTATCAAATGCATGAGAAAATGCTTCCTTGGAAGTGATAACTCTCAGTATGCACATTGCAGGACTTCTGGTCCTAGGGCTTTTTATTATTTTAAAACTTACTTTCTCCTTCCTTCCCATGGTGGAGTAAGGTCGAGGAAGAAGGGTGTCCAGACCTTAGGAACAGGGGTGACACACTGGAAGGTGGCCATGTTAGCCCGGCGCCGTCACGGCGCTCACCAGAACGCCAGCCCACACGGCAGGCTTTGGCACCTGTTGTCATCGGGCTTAGAGAAGTACACAAGACGGTGCTAGTTCTCGACTGGCAGAGCCCTCCAGGGACGCCGTGCCCCTGCAGCCGGAGCCTGGGTTCTAATCATGGAGCTGTACTGCTCCAGAGGAGAGAAGTGTGTGCATCCGCGAGGACCGGGTCACGGAGCAAGCAGAGGCTGTGGAACACACGGCACGTGAAGGAACTCAGTGGCGACTGGAGGTGGCCTAGAAGGCAGAAGCCAGTTCAGCGCAGAGAGAGGCAGAGAGGGGTGGAGTTGGCAAAGTGACTGTTAAAAAAAACAAGGCGTGGGCAGTACCGCCGGGCACTCTGCAGCAGCTCCAGAGTCCTCTTTCCTGGAGGTCTTTAGCTGCGCTGTCCTGGCTGCCACCACGTCCTGATCTGATTCGAAGCATTTCTCTTTCATGGCCATTTTGACTGCAGGAAGCACCTGAAATCTCATGGTGCCAGATTCGGTGACTAAGGTGGACGAGGACCCGCTGTCCTGTTTTAAGAGCTATCTCTCTGTTAAATGGTGCGGGGCAGCAGAAGTTACATCAGAAATCATAGCGCATAAAGAACCTCAGGAAAGGCGACTCCAGAGCTTGGAGGGAACAGTGAGTGGGGTAAGTGTATTGGGGGTGAGGGGCGGGGGACTTTGAGGGAGATTCTTGGCAGTGTGTCTTACTGTATTAAAGTTTTAGGGTTTCAGTGTTCATCATCTATTTTGACCACACCGTGTATATCAGGACTCTCATCGACCCCACTCCTCCTTGGAGCAGCCCTGAGGCTCTGCTCACCTGATCCAGCTGCAGGCTGCTCTGCTCAGCCACATGGATGTCCTGCCTGTCACTCTTCCTGCCATCTCTCTTCCATAGGGACCTCCCTCTGTAGGTCCTGTGTTTCTCTCTCACTCCATTTCCTCCCTCACTGATCAGTCACCCTTCTAGGACACTGCAGTGGTATGGTAGCTTAGCTGGGTATCAAATTCTAGGCTGTCAAAACCTTTCCCTGGAGATTTCGTCTCCTGACTTTATGTTGCTTGTGAGTTACCCACACAATTTATTCCTTTACAGGCTAATGAGACACGTGATAGACAGTAAGCTACAGTAACAAAGTGTGTCATTTGATACAATCAGACAAGTACGTGTGTGCACGAAATCACCTCTGTTGAGATAGCTAACATAGCCACACTTTTAGATTTCCTTGTCCACTCTGGGAAACCCCTCTGGTGCGCCCCACCCACAGGCAGCCACTGAGCTGCCCTGGTGTCTGCAGAATGATCTGCCCCTGCTGGAACTGATACATGTGCACTGGTTGGGCTCCCTTTTGCCTGTCTTCTTCTGTTCCGTGTAATGGCGTGGAGATTCCTCCATGGTCTAACGTCTGTCAACAGATATTCTGTTTATTGTCCAGTAGTCCACTGCATGGATGTACCTGTGGTGGAAAGCTGCTTCTGCTTTTTAGACATGAGTTGGCTACTTGCCTGTGTGTGGACCTCTTAGGTGAAAATCTAGAAGTGGAATGACGGTGCTGTGTGACAGGTCTGTTTAACTTTTGAAGAAACTGCAGAACTGCATTTCAGACTTCTGCACCATTTTACATTCTTTTTGCTGCGGCTCACAACCACAGCCACACTTGTGTCTTCATTTCAGCCAAGCAACCGAGCCCAGCACCCTCTCGTTGCGGTGCGATTCACCTTCCCCTGACCACTAACACTGGGTCAGCACTCTCTCCTGCTCTCTGGCATCTGATGCCCTCAAGGGAGAAGTTCCCGTTCAAGCCTTTGCCCCCTTTTATGGCTACTTTGTATCACTGAATTTTTCGAGTCCCTATTATACTCAGCATACGAGTCAGATATCTGTTTGCAAGCATTTTCTCTGTCTGTAGTGACTTGTGTCTTGTGAAGAAGAAACACAAGTAAATTTTGATGAAGTCTAATGTACTGATTTCCTTTTTATTTCAAAGTTCATGCTTTTTGCATTGTCTTTGAGAAATTCTTGCCAAACTCCAAGTCACTGAGATTTCTTCCCTGATTATAACTGAAATTTGTCATCCAATAGCCAAGAGCTACATGCAGCTATTAAATTTAACATTTAAACCCTTAAAATAAATAACATAGTTCCTCCATCAAACTAGCCACATTTTGAGCCCAGGGGTCGCTCTGTCATCACAGCGGGCACACAGCATTCTCATCTTTGCAGAAGGTTCTACCGAACAGGACCCTGCCCGAGGGCCTGCTCCTCCGTCTGTGCTGTGTTTGATCTCATTCTTGCATGTGGTGCGAGGTGATGGCTCACATTTTTAAAATAATCATTCATTCTTCTAGCACCATTTTGGGAGTGGCTATTCTTTCCCCTTAAACTACCTTGACATCTTCATAGAAAAATCAACAGGCCACATACCTACTTTTACACAGACTTTTGCTATGCCGACCTAGGGGCCTACCTAATTGATGACTACAATTCACAATAACTCAACAACAGTAAATCCTCCAACCTTGTTCATGATTTTTAAAGTTGTGTTGACTCTATGTCATTTAACCTTCCATATACGTTTTTAAATACCTTGCAAATCTATACCTTTCTCAAAAAAAATAAAACTGCATGTGCAATTTTATGTGGGATTTCATGGAACCTATAGATACACCCCGAGCTTGAATAATTTAGGAATATTGGTCTTTCAGCCATGACATGCCACCACCCCCCCCCCCCCACTTCCCTACAGCTTCTTCCTCTCAGCCACTCGGGAGGTTTAGTCCTGATCTTGTACGCCATTGTTGTATTTGTGCCAACTTTCACATACTTGGACAGTCCTGGCAGCAGCAGGCTCCTTCCTCCCTCACCAGACACCTTGTTTTTCTTGTTTTATTGCATGGGCTGCGCAGCAGGGTGACGGTAGGTGCCCCCCGTCTGGTTTGTGACCTGGCGAAGGAGCGTCAGCCCTCACAGTGAGTGTGTGTGGCTGAAGGTGGCCTGTGCTCTTTTGATTCCCGACTCTTTATACGTGGCCTGCTTTTGTTTCATGTGCTTGATTTTTTTTTTTTTAAATGAGTCTTTATTTTTTCATCGGTACCGGGGATTGAACTCACAACCGCCTGCTTGCAAGGCAGGTGCTTATGCCACTGAGCTAAGTCCCCGGCCCCTATGTGCTTGATTTTTAATCTGAGTCCCGCCTTCCCAGGAAAGCTGCTCTGCTTCTTTGTTCTGCTCTTGCCTCTGCATTCCCAGTTTCTGAACTGCCGTGAGCTGCACACTGCTGCATGTCTTCCGTACCGTTGTGCTGGACTTGAGTGGGTTCTTTCGGTCTGGAAAGCTGAACACTTCCATTCTGAAAACTTCATGCATCGCTTCTGGGCCTTTTCCTCCTGCCGTTCTCCGTTCTGCCTTTCTGAGGCTCCTGGGAGAGGCGCATCTGCACCCCATCCTGAGCCCCATCACTCTTTCTCTTATTTCTCTCTTCCTCTTTTGGTTCTTTCTTTCCCCTTATTCTTTTGGTTGTCTTTTCCAGCAGTCGTATTTTTATATGGCAGCCTTAATTTTCCTCTAAGTTTTTCTTTCTTGTTTGTGTGTCATGCTGATGTTTCAGAGTTAAATATCTCCCCTCAGAGTTCTTCAGCCCTGCACTCTTCTGTTCCCTCGAAATTGCTTTATGTGTTAGTTTGGAAGCTGTGTGTCATGGGAAGGGGTCCCCCAAAGGTCTAGCTTTCATTTGTCCTTTTCATCTGTTAATATTTTAAAATGAGGCATCAAAGGGTATAGGGAGTCACAGGCTCTCCAGGGTGTCTCCTTGCAGGAAAGTCCAGCCCTGTTTTATTGATAGCTCCCCTTCCTGAGTGCTTTTGTGCCCTAAGGGGTCTGTGGTCCCCTGTGGGTGTCCTGGGACTGAGCACACAGTGCATGTGCGTCACCCCATCCCTTCTCAGCACCCCAGGTCCTCAGCCCTCTGCTCACGCTCTAGCCTCAAAGCTGGGAGCCCGTTGGTCCATTTTCCTGCCCACAGGCTGTGGAGCCGGAGGGGCTGCAGATGTGCTGGGCCTGGAGATGGCTCTGTGCTGAACGCTGTCCCCATGTGCTTTGGATCAGCTTGAAGCTGGGCTTCAGGGTCCAGGCCCTCCTGGGCCTGTGGGAGGAACCAGCAGGTTTCCAGAGATTTCTCCCACTGTGGCTCTTGGCCTTCTTAGGTCTGTGTACCCCTCCTTACTGCTCATCTCCGGAGCTCCTTCGTTGGTCCTGCCCCACTCCTCTCTCCTCTCCTTTCTTAATTCTCGTGTCAGTGAGAAACTTTTTAAAAAAGAAATTTTTAAAAACTGTACTTGCTCAAATCACCATGTTCAGCCAGGAGACCCTTTTGAGGTTCTGGCCTTTTACTCACCACAACCACCAACCCACCACAACCATGACACCCCACCACCACCACCTGCAGGCACAGCAGGGAGCGCGGACACCAGGGGACTTGGGTTGGTGGTACAGCCCCAGTGTGGCAGGCAGGATCCAAGTCCTTGATGTACTGTGCCATCAACACAGAACTCCACCTCCACTAGAGAGAGATCCCAGGACTGTCAGAAAGGCACCAGAGGTGGCTAAGGCATCCATAGGCCCTGCCCAGAAATCCTCAGAAATAGGAACTATGCAGGGATTCCTGCAGGATTAGCTTATTAATCTCTACCACAGAGGAAGAAGGTGATGGCTAGAATGAACAGTTCCCATGAGGAAGTCTGAAGGAGCTATAGTGGCCAAAGTATTGTATGAAGTCCTTAAACAAAAGAAAGAATGGATTTAGGAATCTACACATTCAAAATAAAACACATTTTATGGTAGGACACTGTATAAGTTCAGACTCTAGATAAAAGATAAGGAAGAAAATTTCTCAAAATGTACAAATGCAGCCACACTTAAATAGTCGTGGCCTTCTCTACAGTGCGTGATCAAGACAGGAAGCCACGTGGAGCTTTGGCAGTGCTGCGACTCCCGGCAACCCCCGTCTAATCAGGACCATGTGTGCAGAAGCGCAGACAGGCCGCTTCCTGATCAGCGCTCGGCCGACACATCAAACAGACAAAGCTCGCGACACTAAGCAATTCGGTTTGGCTTTTAAAATAAAATGAAGAATTTAATTAAGGAAACAGACCCAAAATCCTGTTAAATATGAGATCAGAAAACCTTCCTAAAATTATAGACATAATCTCCTGCAGAGAGAGCTTCAGTTTGAAGTACAAGCAACTCAGTAGTTCAATGAGAAATTGATTAGATGGAAACATTCGCTCCATCAGGATTAAAAGTTACTTTGCCAACTCAGGCTTGAGGAAGTAGATCAAACAGGGTTGGGGAAACCGAATACCCCTCTCTGGGTGCCTTCACTGTGCCTCCAAATCTGATCTTCATAAAGCAGCTCTGTAGCCAGGCCTGTGCTCATCATGTCTTGCATGTGACAAGATACTCAGTGTCAGTGAGTTTGTCCACGGAGATGGGACCAGTGTTCAGGACGGTGTCGCAGGATAGGGCAAGGATGCTTGGGGGCATGTTGCAGCCACAGAACCAGGGAGAGCTCGGAGGGAGAGCTTGGAGGGTAAGTGTCCCGGTCCTGTGCCATGACTTCACCAATGCTTGTGGACATGCGTTTGCAGGGTCCGTGTCCGTAACTTTGGCCACCTAGATTTCTTCTACTCACAGAATAAATAGTAGCTACCGCACCCAGACTAATACTATGTAGACACATGACACCTGTCAGTCCTCTGACAAAGGTAGTTTGCTTTCAATAAAATAAGGTACAAAGGGAAAAATATTCTTCTGTTTTGAAAAGTATTGCTGATCAACACTGGTGCATGAGAAACAACGCTAATACAAAAGGAAAAATTCCCTATGCCTCTACCACCACACGGAGGCAAGCGTTCCTGGGTGGGCTGAGACTTGTGTGCTTTCCTGGTATTCCTCAAGTGGAGCAAAGCTGTGGCACCCCTGGATCACCTTCTGGGAAGGTGGACTACTGAGTCCTCCCCAGGCGTGGGTCCTAGCTCTGGAAGTGGGCAGGCTCCCGAGGCGTGCATTCGCCCAGGACACCGCTCTCACCCGTGGCACCATCACCAGGCATAATGCCCCTTCTTCCCCAACACACTGTCAAACTAGGCTGTGGAAGGTCGTGACCCAGCTCCCCCAGTGCACAGACTGCTCCTCACGCAGACGCTAAGTTGGTCCACACTCCGAAAGTTGAGTCGACTCTCAACACACCAGCGTAGGACTCTTACAGATTGATTCCTTTAAAACCTGTGTCACGTTATGACTACTGCAAGCTCAGCTGCTGAAAAGGAGGATAAGAGAGTGGAATCACCATGCATGGCTGATGGCTATGGTGCCAGGCGGGCATAGGGGGCAGGGTGTTTCCAGCCCTGAGGGAAGCCCACATGAATGGTAATCACAGTCAGTGTCCTCAGCAGGGCTTCACCCTGTGGCTCAGGAAGGCCTGGCAGCGTGAAGCCCTGCAGTACTGCTCTGGCACCCCATTTTATTTACCAGTGAGGCGTCGACCTCTGTGTGCTGCATGATACTCATGGGCAGTGCAGACCTCATGATCAGGAGGAGGTTTACAGCTGAATTAGAAATGCTCATTTTGGGGCTGGGGATTTAGCTCAGTGGCATAAGTGCCTGCCTTGCAAGCAGGCAGTCATGAGTTTGATCCCTGGTACCGATAAAAAGGAAAAAGACAAAAAATTAAAAAATAAAAAAATAAATGCTCATTTCAGCTTGGATATTAGGGTCCAGAGTTGCCACATATTTTCAGTCACTTTTCTTCCCTACCGATATTTCCTACCCACCCCACACCACATTCATATGTTCCTTTAAGTGCTTTGCCTGCCTGTGATGGTGGCAGGAAGATTTTATCTCTGAATCTGTTTCTTTTGACTGTTTTTCTCCACCTCGCATTTTTCTCACATTTTCTTGCTTCCACACCTGCCTGGTGACTTTATTGTGAGCTGGGTACGGTGGGTGCTACACTGCTGAGTATCTAACTTTGTGGTCCTTCTTTGAAGAGTTTTGCAAAGCAGCCTGACCCTGTGAGCTGGCCTCTCTGCGATGCCCATTGAGGGTGGGATGTGGGCTCTCCTGTTTGTTAGCTGTGCTCCCCTGAACCTTTGTTTCCTTTTTTATAACATGGGCATTAAAAAAATCCCCCTTGGCTTTGATCTGAGGATTGAGAAGAGATTTCGCGTGTCAGATGCCTGGGGTGGACTCACGGGGCTGGGCTTTCCTGGTCCAAGGCAGAGGCCTGCATTCTTCCACCCTGCAGTGGGTCACTGGCCGTGTGGGCGGCAAAGCCAGGGATTCTCACCACTGTGCCTCAGCCTGGTCCATGCCTGCTGTGGACTAGGCAGCAGCTTGTTTTGAAGCCTGAAACCCTGAGGGTAAAACCATGTTCCCTGACACCCTCTTCCTCAACCTCCCGCCCAAGCCAGGTCCCCAGAGCACCACACCAGCCCTCTTCCCTCCTGCTTTCACCCTGGCCCTTGGGAATTCATGGGCCATATGGTTCCAACCAAGACTTTCTGATTCCAGCTCCTGTAAGTGCCAGGACCATGTGCCCAGCACACATAGAAGTGGTCCACACTTGTCCATGGCTTCCTAAGACTCTATAGTGTGCATCCAAGGCCCTACAAGATGGGATTCCTGGGAAGTGGGATTCTTGCCTTCATTTCTGGGGTTCCATCCTTCATCGTGTGCACCAGAGTAGAATGCAGCCCATGGGAGCTTCTATCCCAATGCACCTTCTTAGAGACCCTGCCTTGGCCAATCACAAACCCCTCCTCTGCCTGAAACCACACAGAAAATCCCTGCTCATCTGTGATGCTTGGCCACTGATTTGGGGGAGGGATCGGGAGAAGCCAGGTAGGTTTGTCAGTTTCTCAGAGGCTGTTTTATCTGCCCTGGGCTAGTGCCCTCCGGTCTGGGGTGAGGCACATGCCAGCATAACGACAGGCTCAGTGTGCCACCAGGGGCTCTGCACAACTTGGGGTTCATGCTGTAACTGTCCCCCACACTGCCTCCCACCCTGCATCAGAATCACTGCGTCTTCCAGTCCCGAGAGCATTTCCTGACCCCACACCGTGGCTCTGAAGCTAGGAAATCAGAAAATCGGCAGCGCCCCAGCCCCTCTGTAATCCGGTTCACAGTGTACTCCAGTGAAATGTGATCATTGCACAGACTCAGAGACTAGAAAGGGCCTCTGATTTCAGAAGAAAGATTTCACAAAATGGATTTGTATGCATAACATCCATTGGCATTGGTGGCGGTGGAGTCAGTGACTCATAAAAATGTCATTTCCTGTGATTTGTATAAATTACAGTAAATATGCCGGTAATCACCCACATTAGCTGCTGAAATGCGGGCGCCGTCTGGAGTCGAGGCCGGGGACCTCGCTGAGGCCTCGAGAGGTAGACCCCACAGGTGCAAATTGACACCTAGGAAAACAGTAGTTAATACGTACTGGAATTTGGATAAGGGGAAAGTGCTGAAATGAATGTGTGTCAAGCAGACAAATTTGGACCTCTCCGAGAGGATCTGTCACGTCAAACAGGAAATAGCTATAAATTACTCGGAATAGTAAAAATCTTGTCACTTTCAACCGCTAAGGCAACGGGCTCATTTAACACATTGGATAATGATGGAGGAGAACCAGCCTGGTACTCACCCCAGCTCTCACGGGTGAGCCCACCAGAGCAAAGGACCCGTGGTGGCCCCACAGCTTTGGTACCACGTTAGGCAGAGTCAGCGGCCCTGCCGCAGGATGCAGGGCCACCTCCTTCTCTCCGGGCACAGGATGATGCCCTGGGGAGTCTCAGAATGCGTGATCCCTGATCAATAAGCCACCGGCCTCTCCTGTCTGTTTTCCTTAGAAACTGTTGGAAGTCATCGGAGCTGAGTGTCTGTTTCAGCAGGCCAAACAGCCATGTGTCTGCAATCACCCTGCCAACCAGATCCTCAAAGATCTCGGAGCTCCACCTCCACGGCAGGAGCTCAGTGTTCACTTCGGGAGCAAAGCCACGGCTCCTCAGCATTTTCCAGGGAAGTCTGAGGCTCTCTGTGGACTCCAGGAGCAGGGACCTGGACTGGGACACGGAAGCCCCTGCAGCGGAGTCTGCAGGACCCATGGGAAGCAGGTACTCCTCTGGAGCCCGGAGCCCTCCTTCTGGGTGGAGCTGTTTGTTGTGGATGGGCAGAGGGTGCAGGCAGAGGCCTGGAGAGGAGGCGAGGCCACTGTATGGTGAGCACTGGCACATAGTGGGCAGAGCTGGGAGGCAGGACACTGATCTCTCTCTCTCTCTGCCCCCTGCCTTGCCCCCTGGGCTCCTCCAGTGCTGGACACTGGCAGGAATGGGTGGTGCCATGTGCTGGGGGTCACTGTGAAGCCAGTCCCACCCACAGGCACACCCTCTGGGCACATCTGCCCTCCGAGGCAGTAGACATCCTGCAGGCTCATAGAGAGGCCTGCATTCTTCTTGGAGACACTCTGGGGATGTGAAAGTCAGCCTGTGTCCACCTGTGGGAACACGAGCTACTTTAAAAGAGAAAGTTACGAAGTTTACAGTAACCACGGGTTGGTACGGTTTAAACACGGGGTGGCTGTCTAAGTAAAGATGCAGTGGAAGACACATTGCTATTCACCTCCCCTCACCTCACACACGTGGTCCTGGTTCTCGACACTTTCTGAGGCAGCTCTGGATCCTCTTTTTGGGCGTCTTTACAATGAAAATGATTTAAAACTGTAGTGCCTGCTGCTGCCCAGCACAGCTCATAAAAACCTCCTCGTCCACCTCCAGAAGAAGTCGGGCACTGGGCAACTTCTGGCTCCGCCTATAGTCAAAACAACGGGGAAAGGGAAAGCTTTGAAGCAACTCAGGACTGCGAGTCCCCCCAGGACCGCCCAGCTGGAGACCCTCAGGCAGGAGGACTACAGAGCTGCTGTGGGAAGTGGCTGGGAGGAGGGGATGCATGTGTTGGAAGGGAGGGGATTTGAGGGGTTGATGGCAATGTGTCTTTTACTATAACAGTTCTTTAAGCATTTGCTGTGTTTTTGATAAAACCTTGTAGTGCCTACATTCAACGGGTTACTTTAAAACTGTTGATCTGTCCCTAAACTTGGCCCCACTTTCACAGTAGAGTTCAGTCTTCCCAGACTGGCTGGGGTGGAGCACGTGGAGCAGGTGATGACGTGGACCCAGAGCGGGCACTGGCCTGTCATAACATTCAGGGTGTGACTTATAGGGCAGGGAGAAAGGCTGGCTCCAGAGACCCAAGACGGGAGCTCACCACCTCCCTGGAGTGTGCACCCCAAACCAAAACTGCCCTGCAGTGCAACGGTTGGTCACCATCTAAAGGTGTCACTGCCCATGAACAATTGTCTGTCTCTACTTAAACAACGTGGCTTACACTTTTTGTCTCAACTGCTAGATTATTGCAGTGAAAGAATATTTAGGTTTTTTATTTTCTTCTCTGGTGAATGAAATGAGTAACTGTTTCGAGTCTGCATTTTAAAACTGCATGTAACTGGTGGAGCGTTGGCCCATATGCTGACTACACAACGCCTAATACACTTGTTAATTTTTAACAAGCTTACTTTTCATAGAACAATAGGTGATTTTGAAAATATTTTTGGTGAAATGCTACAAATTCATCATTCAGTCAACTCTGCATCCGTTGGTGCACTTCAGATGTTGGATCATGTCTAGGATGTAAGTGCCATTGCCACAGGTGGAAACTTAAGATTGGCAGGGTCTTCTCCTTCCACGGTGGCATGGGAATAAAGGCGCCCAGCAGCTCACTGGAGCAGAGAGATAGGAGTGGCCAGTACCTGCTCCTCTTATGCACAGGCTGAAGATGAAGAAAAATTGCTCATGCCCAGAATCAGATAGTCTTCCCTAGCACTTCTTCATGTGGGGTCCCTGTACATTATATCCCCAGATTTCACAGAACTGTTACCACCAGAGTCACTTTGTCCTGATGGTGATTGGTCCACACTGGCTTCTTATGTGTATTTAGTGGAGAATTCCTGTTGCCTCCATCAACTGAAAAGGCTACAAATAAAAATTCTAGAAGATGCTTAAAGCATAAAGCAAAGGTAAATATTTCCCAGCTGGCACCAAAGCTGATGACAGTCCAGAGGGAAAAAGGAGAAAAAGTAGTGGGAGGGAAAAAAGGAAAGAAAAAGAAACGAAAAGTCAAAGTCCCACAGCATAAGACTTAGTTTGCACTGTGCATTTGAAAACAAGCTTGAAGATCTGCAGCCGAGTTCTGAGTTCTTTGCCGTCATGGGGCTGCTCTCTGGAAACTACACAGCGATTATCGCCAGGCAGAGAAATCTGCTGACCCTCGGCAGCACCGCCCCACACCGCCCACCGCACCCTCCTGGGGACTTGTCTCAGAGCCAGGAGCCCTGGGGAGCCCAGGGGGAAAGTCCGAGGGCTTTGGAAGCTGTGGAAGAGGAGAGGAGAGGAGCAATGCTCCACTGCTTTTATTAGGAAGGGTGGGGATCCCAGGTGGGAGAGGGACCCGCCTCTTCTGGAGCACACTGCCTGAGCATCCACACTGCCCTGCAGGGCCGCGGGCCCCTCTGCCTCTCTGGCAGCCGCAGCCCAGTCTCAGGGCTGAGGTGGGTGTCGCTCACATCTGGCCTCTGCTCTCTCTTCAGCCCATTCTTCCTGGGCCCATCCTATATGAACGATTTAAAGGGAATTACCTATTACTTCAATTATTCGTTTCTTATCAACTGATGTTAAACTACAAGGATTTGCATTGAAAAAACACAAAGAAAGAGCAAGTCATGGCACGTGGCCAAATGAAAGAGTAATGTTCTGGTGAATTTAGCCTCAATAATTTACTGGTATATAAAAGTGGAAAAGTGGAAGGTGAACCTCTGACCAATAAATCTCCCTGCGCATGAAACCCTTATCTGGTCCCCTCCGATATATTCCGTGCGAGGAAGCCATCGCTGTTGGCTCTGGTTAGCTGTTCGCAGACCTTGATCTCCTGCACTCACGTCCTAAATGTGGGTAATTAGCATCAGTTTATCAGGCTTCTGCATATTTTCTCTTCTCTCCAAACACGCACGCTTCTGTTGGCTGCCATTCTGCTACGGAAGATTATGGAGACAGATTGCAGAGAACGAATGTGCTAAACGAGATTAGGAAGGAATAGAAATAGCAACTTGGCCAATAAATTCCTCGTGAGAGCCTTATCATGCAATTACACGTTGACTCGCTCCACACTCTCCCCGCCTCTTAATCCAACGCCCCCACCAGGAATAAAATTTCGCTAATTTCTGAATTGCTGTAGATCCTCCTGACTTGCTACTGAGAATGGTTGGAAGGAGAAACACTGCTGAAAACATCATGTCAAACTTTATAATAAAAAAGTAAACTCTGAACATCAGCGTGGGTGGTACGATCCGGGCTGTGGAAAACGTCACCGGGTGAATGAGACGCTTGGCTCCACCTTCGGGATTCAGGACTGTTGGAGCGAGGACTCCGCTGTCCAGCACAGGACTATCTGATGTGTTGCAAGCCAGGACAAAGCGTCACTGCCTTTCTGACTTAGGATGATTACTGATAGCAGTCCTGACGCCCCTTGGTGGTCCTGGGCCAATCACTTGACCTCTTTAAGTGCTGTCCTCAGCTGCACGGACTGCTTCTCCTCGAGGCCCCTCGTCATGTGGGAGCTGTGGCTCCTTACACTCAATGTCTATGGACAGGAAAACCCCTGCTGCACCCTGTAGCTGGGACTCTGTAATGGGGCGCCCACGGCGGTGAGGGTGAGATGGGGGGTGCTCCTCTCGCCACTCTGCCTGCCAATCTCTCCCCAGGGCATTATGATAAGTTCCGTAGTTAAAGAAGTCGTGCAGGCTTCTGGTCCACCAGGAGACTGTGGACAGCACAGAGCCACCTGGGCACCGTGGTGCCCCACAAAAACAAGGTGCTGGAGCCGAGAAAAGCACCAGCAGGTCTGGGCTTGTGGTTCCTGGAAGCAAAGGAAACTGTGCAGTGGTGCTTGCGGCAGAGGCAAGGCTTCCAGTTTGTGGTGGGAAGAATTAATTCGCTAAAGAGATTCTCGGCAATTGTAGGGAGAGCTTTGATGCGTCAATTATAATGTCGCCTGCACTTTCTTTCCTCCAAGTAATTTCTACCAGAATTCATGGGGAAGAGAGTGCCACGTGAGCAGTCCAGAGAAAGGCCCCCGGCCTCCATCTCAGTCCAGGCCCTGAGTCAGCACCCACTGGAAGGACTGGGGCTGCCCCTCCTCCAGTGCGGCGTCTGCTGCCAGGGTGCAGGAAGGCTGCCTTCCCTTGACAGGTATGGGTTTGCCTTTTGTAAGCAGCCTGATCATGTAACGGCTGCCAAGGGTTCTCCTTTCAGAAAGAAAGCTTTGGTGGAGTCTGCATTCACCTTGAGTGGGAGAGGGCCCCAGGGGCCTCAGAGCCTGGTCTTTGGGCTCCACTCAGAGCCCAGCTAAGCTGTGCTTCGCTGAACCCTGCCTATACTCTATGCTGCCTCCCAGCCCTGGCACTGCAGGCACCTGGATGCCACCTGGCATGGGTTCGGTGTGGGTGGTGGAGGACCTTTACTTCCTGTGCCCTCCTCTTCTGCAGTACCCCCAATCCATCTGAGGTGACTGCTGGGAGGATGGACACCCTGGGGAGCCAGAGAAGGCACAGGGGCTGCTTTGAGCCCAAGCTCAGGACCGAGTTCTCCCCCAGCCCCAGGTCCAGGACCACTTTAGGCTTGGAGCTGGACTCTGCAGGCGGGGCAGAGGACTCCAGGCTCTGGACAGCCCCGCTGTGGGGAGGAGGCGTTATTAATAACTGTGCTCCCTTCCTATGTCATATTTCCTGGACTGGTGAGCTCTGTGGAGGGGGTGGCGTAGGAGGGGCCGCTTGCCATTAATCTGGGAACAAACGGCTAACCTTGGTGACTGGTATTTTCGCTTTTCTTTTCTCACTTTTCTCAGTGTGGGGAAAGCAGTCAAGCCCGCGAGGCGATTGTGAGGGGCTCTGCTGGAATTTGGCAGTGCGGAGGCTTGGAGCGCAGCCCCATGCTGGCTCCCATTCAGCGGCCAGTTTTCCTCCAGCTCTGGAAGTTTCACTCAGCCGTGCACTCAATGGCTCCACAAAGCTGATTACAAGCTTCAGCGCATTCCTGAAGGAGCCAAAGCGACGCAGGTGCAAACGAGCCGAGGGAGCCCCTTATCCCGGTGACAGAATGGGACAAGCTGGGAAAGGCTCGGACCACACAAATCCAAGGCTCACCAGGCAGCAGAAAGCCTGCCTTGGGAACCGGGGGTCATTATCCGACCTATTCAGCAGCCAGGGCCCTGCAGCCAGGAGGGTGGGGGCCGATGTTCGCCTGGTCTGTGAGACTGCTGCCTCCAGGGCCCCAGCAGAGGCTGGACTGTGGGACATGGGGTGAGGGGGAGAGTGTGGTCCAGGCTGCACCGTGCGTGACCAGGCCTCGTGTCCGCCGCACCCCAGGCATGGCGGTTTCTTCTGTCTCCGACCCCCAGGCCCCTTCCCTTTCTCCACCCAGCTGGCAGCGGGTCCAGCAGAGAGCAGTGGGGCGCAGTGCAGGGAGGACAGCGTGGCCTCAGTGGGGGATCACACGGCTGGCAGGAGGGTCCCCGGGCATCAGTGCTGTCCCTGCGTGGACAGAGAGGGGCCTGGGAGGGGATAGGCTGATGCACAGTGGCTGGGGTGCCCTGGGGTCCCAGGCAGGGTGCAGGCAGGCAGGGCACACTGACGCTCTTTTGTCTGATAACTAATTTGAGTTAATGCGATCTTTATGTAAAGCTAACAGCGAATAATTGTCTATTTTCTCGCCAACAATCTCCATCACAATCACTTATATGGAAACCTGCGGCTGGATTAATCGTTATGTCCCGGCTATGAGGCAGCCACTGCCATCCACAGCACACGTGCACAGTGGGAATCTGGAGACCGTGCCGGCACCGCTGCAGCCTCGCTAGGCCCAGGGTGTGGGGTGTAGGGTATGGGGTGCAGGGTGCAGGGTGCAAGGTTGGAGACAAAGCTGACAGCAGGGCCTGTGGGCCAGGCCAGTCAGGACCATCACCAAGGCACAAGCTGCCCTGGAGCTGGGAGAGGGGACACCCTCACACCCTCCTGTTTTCAGCTAAGAAGTCCCCACCCTGTCTAGGTTCCCCTGGCTTCACCCCATGCCCCCACCCAAGATCTCTTCCCTTGGGGACTTCTCCACAGGCAGTGGGCAGTATTTACTCTTCACAGCTGGAGCTGGAGCCTGGGCCAGGAAGCAAACCCCAGCTCCCTTCCCCGCTGCTCAGGGCAGGTGGAGATGGTGGCAGATGGTGCAGCCCCCAGGGGAGGAGGCTCTTGTGTTACAGTGATTTTTGTCTTTCTGAGCTGAAGTCAAAACATCAGTGTCAAGTGAGACTCGTTTGGTGCTGTGCGTAACGCCCTGTGTGAAGTGAGTGCAGAACCTTTGCTGCCAGGAGCCACATGAGGGCTGCCGTGGCCGCACCTGGGAGGCAGGTGCTGTCCACTACGAGTTTTCCCATACCGGCTTCTGCCACCCAAGGACCAGATGGCAACCTTTCAAAGTGATGCTTCTACTTAACAGCAATGCAGACTCCATCGGTGACAGCTTTGGTGGTAAACGAAAGGATTCAATTCCTGGTTAGCCAGAGGGCTCTGACTTGTAAGAGTGAAGGAATCTGAGGGACAGGCGCCAGGAAGACACTGGGCTTTGGTAGTGTTACCGCGCCTTCCCAGCTGGGGCGCTGTTAGAGAGCATAGCCGCTCAGAGGTCCCCAGAGTAGCCAGACTGCCCGCCCTGACCACAGACCGCCCGCCCCGCTCCATATGCTTCCCAGGCAGCACTTGGGAGTCCTCCCCTCTTCACCTCTCACCTGAGTCCTGTCACCTCGGCCATCAGAGTGATCTGGGGACAAAGCTGATCTCAGCGACAGCCTCTGGTCACTCAGGCAGAACGGTCTATGCAAATGCAGGGCCTCGGGAACAGTGGCCCCTTTGTCCAGGCCTTTCAAAGCCCCAGCAGCTGCGGGACTCGCCCGCCTCGGACCCTCGGCTGCCACAGCAATGTCATCATTGCCGAGCATCAGATCCTGAAAACTACACGATCTGAATTCATGAGCAGCCTTCTCAGGATTGCTCCTCTTTCCAGGATGCTTCAAAGTCCAGATCCGCCTCTGCCTCTGTCTCTGCTGGTAGGGGTGGGGGCGGGAGGGGGCAGGGCAGAGTTGGCAGGGAAGACAAGGTCCTTCCCGGAATTCAGGGATTCACAAACTTTCCAACTGTCCTGTGGGCCTGTGCTGGGGCGTCTGACCTCGCCACCCTGATATGTCACGGCTCCCGTCTCCTTTAGATGCTGCAAGCACCAGGATACCAGCGTGGGGAGTGAACAAAACCTTGATCCTCTGCTTTCCAGAAAGCACCAGGAAGGATTTGGAAGCCACTTTGATCAGAGTGAACTCCAGACAATCCTTACCAGAGAGCAAACAAGTTAGCTAAGCTAGTGCTGTCAGGGATATGCACGCTCGGGGTCCCTGCATGGAAGTTTGAGTTGCAATCAACTCTACTCCCTTGAGCACTACCCTGCCCACCATGACCTCTTGGTCCATAGGGTGTGGGGACCCATAAATGAGAGGGGACCAGTGGCCCAGTGTGCACCTGGCCAGGGAGGTGCTCTCTCATTCCCGGGGGGCCCAGGGTCAGAGCTCTGCTGTGTCCTCCCCAGCTCTTGAGCAGTGGTCACTGGTTTCTGTGCAATGTCTCTTTGCTTCCTGCCTGCCTCCCCCTGGTCCCAGGGAAAGGCAGCCAATTCGGAGGCACCACTAGGTCACTTCCCTGTGGAGCAGAGCACCCAGGGGGCTTCCGAGGTGGTGGGAATGAGTGTTCTCCCAGCCCTCGTCGAGGCTGCTGCACCCCAGGCTGCTCCTATGCGTACTGGGTCTTCCCCAGGGCTTCCCTGAGTGACCAGTGCCTTCCCCAGGGTGCCTTCCACCGACCCTACCACATTTTTTTATCTCTCTTTTCTTTCTTTCTCCCCACCCATCCTTTTCATTCTTACTTTTGCAGTATTGGAGACTAAATCCAGAGTCAGTGCATCCTCAGCCCCTCTTTTTTCTTTTGAGACAGGGCCTTGCTAAGTTGCCCAGACTAAGTTTGAGATCCTGCTGCTCTGGCCTCAGCCTCCTGGAGTGCTGGAATTAAAGCCAAGCATCATCACCCCTGCCTATTTGACAAATGGAGGGGCAGGGCATGGCAGGATAGCGGCTGAAGACTCACCTCTGTAGTTGCAATGAGGGGAATGGGAACAATTGGAAAAGCCACACAGGGCACCTGTGTTGAGTTAGGAGGGAAAGCACTGGTGTGGCAGGTCCCCTAACTACAGATACCTTTGGGGACTGAACTGGGACTTGGTTTCCTCTGTGCAGAATCAGGCGCCATGGACCTCTGAGCTTGGCTCCTAGAGGTCTCTGCTTCTTGGCAGGTGCCACCCACAGCTACACCTGGAGCACAGAGGCCAGGATGAGAGTGAATGGGTATCCAGGTGGCCTGAATTGCATGGAGGCAGAGGCATGGCCAGCGCGGGTCACCAACATCTGTCCAGCATGGAGACATGACTGGTCACCCTGGGGTCAAGAGACCTGTGCTGCAGCAGCAGAAGGTCCTGTGCAGACAGAACTGTGGCCTACAGAGGTTCTGTGTCAGCCTGGGTCTTATCCCTGCACAAAGGCTTCCAGAGTGGTGACCTTGGGGTACCCTTGCCTCCCTCTGCTTCTCTCTCTCTCTCTCTCTCTCTCTCTCTCTCTCACACACACACACACACACACACACACACACACACACACACACTGTTCACCTGGATCTCCACAGGGACAGGCTGGGTGGACACTGGGGAGGCAGCACTGGCCCCACCGAGTTGGCAGCATCCCCCCTCGGTGCCAGGAGGCCCCACTGTGTGGGCTGAACCACAGCACCACGCCTCTTGCACTGCAGTGTTGGCTCAAGGTCCCCGACGCCTGGTGCCCTCTGGCTGGGTGGCACTGCACCATGACTCTTCTTTGGCCAGCCTTGAGCTCAGCTTAGATGTGTGCTGCCCAGGAAGGTGGGTGCCAGCAGGGGCTGGGGTCACATAGGTGCTGAGTGTGAACACAGACCTTTAAGGTGCTGATGAGGAGGTGTGTGGAAGACACCTTGTTCACGCAGAGTGCAGGTTACAGTTGCAATGTGTCCATTTTGGTTATATTGGGTTAAATAAAATATATTCTTGAAATGAACTGCACCTGTTCCTTTTTACTTTTTTACAAAAGTAACAGCGAATTCAAGCTGGCCTGCATGGCTGCCACCTGGCCCGCATAGTGCTGTCCCTGGGCAGCACAGACCTCACATTCCTCAGGGAGCAGAGGAGCGAAAGCGGGCCTGGGCCAGTAGGCGGTGGGAGGTGGGCAGAGGCCAGGCCCGCAGCACCGGCTGCCTAACGGGCACCGTCTCAGAGCTGCTCCTCTTTCATGAAAATGCCAGCTGGGGGCCACACAGCGCATTTTACTGCTTGATCCATTCTCTTTCCATCCCCCTCTGACGTTCCAGTAACGGTGCTGTCATCTCCTGCTCTGCAGTCTTGGCGGATTTGCGGGAAACTGCTGAAGGATCTTGGGGCAAAGGCCAGTATGGCCGGGGTGGAAATACTGCAGGGAGGGCACTGTTGGGGCCAGCAGTTCTAAGACAGCCCCTTTCTGGTAATTTCAAAGCTCAGGCCAGAACCTGAGACTTCCCTGTGTTGATTTTTCTGTGTAAATAGGTCCCCACCACGGAACACTCAACTGCACACAAAGACTGGAGTGAGGTCTTGCATCTGGTGCAATGCCTCTGCCCAGCCCAAGGCTGGCTACATGTGACACTGCACTTGGGGCATGCAGGTTACAAGATAACGTATCCATAAACACTTTTGGCACTGGGGATTGAACCCAGGCACTCTACTAGTGAGACATCCACAACCTTCTTTAAAGTTTAACCAGGCCTTGCCAAATTACCCACTTTGGCCTGATCTTGCAATCCTCCTGCCTCAGCCTCCTGAGTAGCTGGGATTACAGGCATGGGCCACTTTTCCCGACTCCTAAGCTTTTATTTTAAAAAATATTTAAAGATGCTCTGCATCACATTTTAGACACAAGATTTCTGGAAGTGAAGTTCTAAAAATTAGAATTGTATTTTTGCCTTTTGGTGAGAGCAAATGAGAAAAGATTGCTCCATGCTTACCACTATGAAAGGATTTGGCAGAGCTGTGAGGTGGACACCATGCTTGGCACACGCCAGGTGTCTGTGGGGTCTGCTCTGAGGGTCCTGTGATTGTTTGGTGGTTGTTTTGAGACAGGCTCTCAATATGTTGTGAGACAGGGCCTTGAACTCCCAAGAAATAACTCAGCACCAACATAAAGCCCACTTTGGCGATAAACAGAAAATATCGCAGAGATAATTTGAATGAAATTGAGTTCATTATTTCTGCCTCCATTTCCTTTTATTTATTTATATTTTTTTGACTACCTCTCATTTAATTACAGAGAAAAATGTGATGAAATAACCCAGATGGTCAAAGTTTTCTGGATCCACAAATTACAATGGTTTATTTTGGAGATTCATTCCTTGAAAATATTTCTATTATTGAAGTTTCTATTCAACCAGTGAGGAACCAACACAAGTCAGTTAAGCTTTAATCAAACTATCTGTGTTTTTAAAGTTATCATGGAAATAACTAGAAACGTCCCCCACATGGACACAGGGCCTCAGCTGCCAGCAGGGACCCCAGGCAGTCACCATACCTCAAGCCTGCTGGCTCTCAAGGTGAATCACCTCCGGCCCTCATTAAAGTTACTGAGACAGCTAAGAAAACAGCAAAGACCCAGCCGCTTCCCATCCCACTCTGCACTTGGGCTTCCTCAGAGCCGTGCAGGAGGGAAGCAGGAAGCCAGGGCAGAGGAGAGAAGCGCAGAGGTGTGGGACAGCAGGTGAATGCGCCACACTGGAAGTGCCGGTCCATGCTGGTATCTGCCACCTCGACCCAGATGATCCGTGCCTCCTAGAAAACTACAGACTTCCATTCGTCTCCTCCTTCCCTTTCTTCCCCAAGGATGACAATGCCTACACCCTTTCCAATGCTGGCAGGCGAGATATTCCAGATAAATAACCCAAGATTGACTAAAGCAGGTCAGCATGCAGAGAGGGCAGCGGGCTGAGGCCCTTCTAAGGAGATTATCTGCCGACAGTGGCATTGATTGAAAAATGCTACAGGCCAAAAAAAAAAAAAAAAAAAAGTACTTATTACAAGATGTCTCAGAGGCAGACAAGACAGCAATGAAGTCCACTTGTCAGTGAGGGACCTTATCTAGATTTTAATATGGCTGTAAGCAAATTATAGATGTTTTCGTAAGTTAGCTGGCTCACATGGGAAAGCATGGTCCCGAAGCGTCCACTGCACTGTGCCTGTCTCAGAGCATGCCTCTGCCCACTGTGGGCTGCCTTTGTTCTCCTTCCCAAGATGCATTGAATATAGGGTCAGGAAGTGGGGGCATCAGACACCAAGGGTCAGGCTCCTGCTCTCAGATCTGTGCAGCCATCCAGTCTACTTCTGCATTCTCCCTTCAGAAAACTGCTTGTGGGCACTCGGCAGTCCTTGCTAGGGCCGACCTCAGGCCCAGGAAGATGGTGCCCAACGCTTTCTGCGGGGTAGAGTCCTTGATAGGGCTGTTTTCCCCAACCACCCCTCAGTGACTTTCGTAGGACACACAGTGATGTCTTCATCTGATCACAGCCATTACACTTGCTTCTCGGCCAAAGTCCACTGAATTATTTCTCCTGTTGCCACTGTAATTATCCGTTATCACAAACATTTCTTCACTGCTTGATAATTCAATACAAGGAACAGAATGGCTGTCTGTGGGCACAGGCTGACCAGTAGCTGGCCACTCAGGGCCACCACCTAGGGGTGCAGGACCAACACCCCAGCCCATGCCCCGTGAGAACTTCATTCCTAGGGAGGTGCTCTGGGGTGAGATCCCTGGGATGGCATCATTAGGCAGCAGGCCCAGGCCTCTGATTGCTAAGGCAAGCGAGCTCTGCAGGGCTGCGCATCCAAACAGCGTGACCACAGCTGCAGTGGCACAAACTCTGCAGAGCCAGCTGCCAAAGTAAAAATAGACAGGTCAAAGGAGCTGGAGGCTGCAGCCCAGAATCAAGAAGGTTTCAAAATTCAAAGCACCAAGTTTCACATGGAAACGCGGAAGTCGGGGAGGTACGTGCTCCCCATTGCACTCCCTCTGGGGTCTCCACCTGCTCTGGTGAGTCAGGCACCTGGCCACGTCTTCCTGGGACCCAGAGTCTCTGCTGTGGCCCCCACATGGAGCCACCTGTGCTCTGGGTCCCCTATGCCACTAACACAAGGCACAGATGGGTCAGCCAGGGAGGATGCATCCTTTTCTCTTCCTGTCAGGACCTTGGACCCCAACCATGGGCTGATGGTCATCCTCAGCATGAGAAGTGGCTGGCGTGCTGGCCCTCTGCACAACCCACGCCACCCCTGGGGAGGCACCAAGCATGGGGCACACAGCACTGCCAGGACCCTGAGCAGCAGTGCAGGCCTTTGCAGGGGAAAGAAACAGCTCTTCTCCAGGGAAGGTGCCTTTGGGAGAGCTGCACAGGATGCAGGGTGAAGGGCGCCTGCCTTTACCTGTGCCCCGCCTCTTTCCCAGGCCCCGCCTACTCCCACCAGGCCCCACCTTCTCCCACCAGGCCCCACCTTCTCCCACTAGGCCCCTCCTCCTCAGAGCACATTTGGCTCTAAACTCATCTGGGGACAAACCGACTTGTAAGTACAGCATCCCCATGATCCTAGCACCTCCTAAAAGCCCTGCCTGTACTTCCATGAGGCTTGGTGGGGTGGGCATCTAGACACAACTGTTACCCCGCCTCCCTCTGGGGTTGCCCAGGGCAGACCCCTTACTTGCCCGTCCCCTGCTCTCGGGAAGCGAAGCAGCAGTGGAGCGAGTCTGGTTAGTAGTGTGCGCTGGTCCTCAGTGGAGAGCAGGCCAAGTGTGAGGCGCTGGCAGGTGCGTCCAGCATAGATGAGGTGTTCAGCACCTGGGGAGAGAGGAGCTGGGCATCAAGAGAAAAGAGGTGGTAGCAACAGGCCTGCATGGTGTTGGGCATGTGCTGCCCCCTCGGTGGCAGCACAGCCCTGTCTTTCTCCAGCCAGTTTAGGGTGAGAGTCAGGCTCAGCCGGGCCTGAATGCCGCCAACCACTCAAGGGCCCAGAGGAGGGTGTGCTGAGCCCTGGGGGACCACATGGGCAGAGGGTGGTGGGCAGGGAGCAGGCAGGACCTGGTCCTGTCTACCCAGAGCCTCTGAAGCACACAGAAGGCTGCAGGGTTGGGTCGGAGGCTCCCAGCTTCCTGACAAAACTGTGGAACTGCCCAAATCCTCATCTGGGCAAAATGAGATGCCTCTTCTGCCAGCAGCATCAGAAAACGCAATGCACATATCCCGCTGATATTTAAATATTGAAACATGTTGTTTTGTCAATTTTTTTAAAAGAATGAAACGAAAATGTTGAACTTAGTGAGTCTCAAAAGAGGCCTTCGCCTTCTGCAGCTGGGACTTCCCAGCACACACATCTGAGGGTGTATCATGCCTTTGACTGGACTGGCAAAAGCCCCGGTCCATTTGGGGTGGGACTTTGCTCCCTGAAGATCGAATGGGTGGCACAGAACACAGAATCCAGGTCCCCACCTTTGTGCTGGGAGACATGCTATACGGCCTTTCTCAGAGTGGACCCAGCACATGGGTGCCAGCCCCATAGAGAGGACACACACCATGCTGTGGTCTCGGCTGGGTGACCGGAGGTGACCTCCAGACTGCCCTCCCACATCATCTGTGTCCTTGCACTAACCACTCCCTTGATGGGAAGGGTGAAGACAAAGTCAGGCTGGGTTCACAATTCGAGTTCTGACTTCATGGCCTCACCCTGGCCCATTCAGAGGCGGCTGTGTGGCTCTGCAGATGTGTCAGTCAGTCAGCCGTGGTCACTGATGAAGCAGCAGAGGCGCACAACGCTGGCACAGGAGGGGCTGCCATGGCTCCCAGGGTTAGGGCAGCACATCCCATCCTGACAGGCACAGGAGGTAGGGAGAGGCACCACACAGCAGCCTGGGAGTGAAAGAGAGAGGAGGGAAGAGACAGGATCCCCACATCCCCTAGAGCACACCCCACCCCATCCCACAGCACCACA